TATTCAGTCCGCCAGTCAGTCTATCAAAATACGTAAGAGGTAATAAATGAGAAAGAAAAAAAAAAACTACATTTACAGGTTTAAGCTCATGTTTTTCCTTGTTATTATATCGAGGGGAGAAAGGCTAGTAGGTTTAAGTGACATTACGCTTAACACGCGACATTTTTTTGTAATTAAAGGTCCGTTTTATTTGGTATTGGCATCAATAATCCGATGTTTTTAATTGAACTTCAATTAAATTTACCCCATTCTAATAATAGCTGAAGAAGTTTTTTTTGTTACGATATTTTATTTTCCAAATTATATAAACGCTTTTTACCCATCGATTTTATTGGCGAAGTTTCGAATAACTCACAGCTTTTCGTGGTCACGGACGAATCGTAAAATTAATTTTGATTAAACAAAAACAATTTCATTCCAAGTCGACTGAGTGAACCCATTAATCCGTCCTCGATCGATTTGAGATAGAACAATCAGTAGTAACATAAAGTAAATTTGTCGATAACGTCCAGGGATCACGAGGTCCGCAAAGCAACCGCAACTATTCATGCTGAGTGGTTTTTTACTGCTGTTTTATGTTTCCTATGCCACGTGACCGGATAGATTCTTACGGTTTATCGGCTTGATGTATCCAATAGTATTGGACGTCTAGATTAAAACACTATTCGCCAGTACGTCTGATTGGGATCATCCTGTTTTCCTTGAATATTTTATTGCCTTAGATATTTTCTACTAGTTGTGGAACTTCTAGGAAAAATACTACGGATCAAGGTATTAGAAAACGGCTTGTTTTACTTCATTTCTCTATCGGTAAACTCTAGTATGATATCTGAAGTTTCTCAACAAACGAGGGAAGTTGGTCACCGTATCGGAAGCTAGATATAACTTATAATGATAATATCCTAATGTTAGTTAAAAATTCTATTGTCATACCGGGCTACAATCATTTTAGTTATTTTTAAAGTTTATAAATTAAAATTCTATGAACGTAACATAACGAATAAATAATTGTCTTATCTCTCACTCTTACATGATGGCAACATCCTAAAACAACACGTAGGATACCTAGCATTAAAAACTCAGCAAACAAACTTATTTCGCTACACATATCGCACACAAATTTCACATCGAGAACCATAGATAAAAAGGAAATGACTAGACATTATTTTTATTGTCATGAAGCTTGGTAGTTATTATTGGTATTCCGGGTAGCGGAGGAAAGATACAATGAAAGGTCATTAAAATTAAAAGGTTCAATGTACGGTGTCTGACCTAATTTAGGGATCCTCCAAAATATATATATATATTTTTTTTTATTCTTGGTTTGAAGGGTTGGGTAGCTGTTGTAACTATACTTGAGACCTTAGATCTTATATCTCAAGATGGATGGCGCATTTACGTCGTAGATGTCTATGGGCTCCAGTAACCACTTAACACCAGGTGGGCTGTGAGCTCGTCCACCCATCTAAGCAAGAAAGAAAAAAACTTCACAAACCACTGTACAGTAGTTTACATATTACAAATTTTTCACGTATCTATTTTCACACACGTTAGCTACAAAATATTATGAAAATATTAAGGGTTTTTGTCTATTGTGTATGTTTAATTAAAATCTTTTCCGTTAATTAAAGCCATATATAGTACTGCTTTTTTACAACGATGGGTAAACGGTTTATTAAACATTTAAATGATGATGATGATATTAATTTATCCCTAATGGGAAAAGTAAAGGTATTTAGTCCATACAGCCAGGTCTTGTTCTTGGTAATAATTGGAGAATTTTGGTAGTTAAACATTTAAATATGATGATTGTCACTGACAGTCTATGCAGGGTTTCGTCTGGCCATTGTATGACGCAGGGACTGAGCATAATACTGTAGTGCGACGTGACCAATACTTGAGGACGGCGATTCACGTGGAAGATGCTTTCAAAAATCTAGTTACGAATATCTGAATATCAGGAATTGCTCAACTGTTCTTTATATTAGATACCAGCATCGTTACTAACTTTTGTCGTGACAACGTCTTATAATTCGATGGAGCCGGCTGCACGCACGAAAAAACATGACTCATGCGGCGTTACCTCGCTCTGAGGCGATTTTCTCTGATTTTCTTATGGCGTTGTCACGTTCAACTATCGTCACAAACACAACAAACTATCGTCGTAAGCCGACTTTACAGATAACCGATTTTTTTTACAAAGAATATATGATTTACATTCGCCCTTAATGCATCATAATTTTGAGAAAATTTCATTAAACATTTTCAATGTGAATAAAATTTTTTGGACGCCGAATAGAAAAAATAAACATTGGGTTCAGACAAAACAAAAATAGTCATCATTTATTTGTACGAAATCGTATCACACTCTTTATTTAAATATAGTGCTATTGTTTGGTTTTCTTTTGAAGAGAATGTCTTTGAACTCGGGTTGAATGAAATTAATGAAATAGTTGATTGTTCTAGCTCGTATCTGAAGTTTTTTAAATATGCCCCATGTGACATATGTATCCTATACGGTAGGCAGCGGCTTGGCTCTGCCCCTGGCATTGCTGAAGTCCGTGGGCGACGGTAACCACTCACCATCAGGTGGGCCGTATGCTAGTCTGCCTACAAGGGCAATAAAAAAAAAATTACATTAAGATCTGTTTCTTGAAGCATACTGATATGAGATCAGTATACTCTCCTAGTGCGTTTGTTTTTTGTATTGGCTGTTCCAAATATTAAACCAGAATCAATGAATGCTGGTGGTGGGACCTCTTGTGAGTCCGCGCGTGTAGGTACCACCGCTCTGCCTATTTCTGCGGTGAAGCAGTAATGCGTTTCGGTTTGAAGGGTGGGGCAGCCGTCGTAACTATACTGAGACCTTAGAACTGATGTCTCAAGGTGGGTGGCGCATTTACGTCATAGATGTCTATGGGTTCCAGTAACCACTTAACACCAGGTGGGCTGTGAGCTGGTCCACCCATCTAAGCAATAAAAAAATATATGCTAGAAGGCAGAAGTAGGATATAGACAGACACTTAAAAAGAAATTGTAATGATGGTGCTAAAAACGCTCTACATCACAAAATGTAAACTTTCAGCCCGGAAAATTCTTTGAAATGAAAGTCAAGAACTAACATTCCTGATGTCGTGACGATAGCAAAAGATAAAAAATGTTATGTGCTAATTTGAAAGGCAGGAAACGAGAATTATGTTAACAGTTGGTTCACGTAATTCTGGTTTCAAATTCCAGCCTAAACAGCTTAGCTGTTATTTCCAAGGGCAGGAGATAACCTAAATACGCGATTTCAATTTTAAATTTAGTTGTCGTCGTGGCCTAAAGGATAAGACGTCCGGTGCATTCGTATCTAGCGATGCACCGATGTTCGAATCCCGCAGGCGGGTACCAATTTTTCTAATGAAATACGTACTTAACAATTGTTCACGATTGACTTCCACGGTGAAGGAATAACATCGTGTAGTAAAAATCAAAACCCGCAAAATTATAATTTGCGTAATTACTGGTGGTAGGACCTCTTGTGAGTCCGCACGGGTAGGTACGGTGGTACCTACCCGTGCGGACTCACAAGCCCTGCCTATTTTTGCCGTGAAGCAGTAATGCGTTTCGGTTTGAAGGGTGGGGCAGCCGTTGTAACTATACTGAGACCTTAGAACTTATATCTCAAGGTGGGTGGCGCATTTACGTTGCAGATGTCTATGGGCTCCAGTAACCACTTAATATCAGGTGGGCTGTGAGCTCATCCACCCATCTAAGCAATAAAAAAAAATCCATTTCATGTCATTTCATTTAGATTATACTTAGGTTGAATAGCAAGCACCATAATGGGTACGATTCCAGTCTACAGACCCACACCATCTATATAATCAATCAAAGCAAAGGTTAAAAACATTGTTAAACCCGATAGGTGTAATTTCTTTAGAGGTATCAGACATATTGAATAATGTAACACCAAAAACATGGCATTAACCGGAAACAATGCCCCGTTAGAAGTACTTAACATAGAATTTTGTTTTTTGTTTGATTAGGGTAATTTGGGGATCCAAAAATCAGAAAGAAATATTTTTTCTATAATACCATAGGCAAAATAATATCTGTCATATTAAGTCCCTGGACACAAAAAAATATATTAATACGTGAATTATATGCCATCCCAAGAATATGCTGATTGCGGCCACGGAGGTCCAATTGAGGCGTATCTTGGAGAAGGTATACATCCAGCACTGAATGTTGATAATGCTTGTGTTATTTCAATTTCACGGCCAAATTTCTTTAACCACGAGTGTCTAATTTTCATTCGTTTTAGTTTCAATAAATGTTTGGTCTACTATACAAAAACAAGAAAAAGCAACACATTGTAGCCGTGCTGCGTTTGCTTCCACTCCAAACCCAATCCTGAGGACAATACGTCATGATGACACTTATTATAAAGGCTTATCAATGAATTCGTATCCAAAATTTGGTGTCTATGCTGCTAACTATTGCAGACTTGTCTTATCAGCTCTTAGTGCAGTAAAACTTAAAACCGACTATCTTAATAAAATGCGTCTACTAAAATTGGGTCTGTGTAGTTGACATTTCAAAACTTCCTTTATTTGCAGCTGCCCCTAAATATCAATTCGTATCATGATTTCCATAAAGATACATTGTCATTGAAACTGATCGAACATGTGAAAATTCTATTTTGTATGATAAGAGAAAAAACAGTCTAATTTAGCTTCAAAAATTTGCCTAAATAACTAAACAAACAACAGACATTACAAATAAAAAAACAATGGTAATAATAGAAAGTGAGTAACAAACTCAATATCCTTGTAAATTTGTTTTAGTACGGAACCTCGCTCTCGGAGTCAACAAACTTTCTTTTAACTAATTAGATGTAGAATTAGAATCACCCACTCTATCTTTTATATAAATAGCCAAAAAATTCAAATAGTAAAATAGTTGGTTACCACTATCAGCTCAGTAATACTTGGAATTGAAAACCAAACACTGCAATGGCACCGTCTGCTCAAAGAACTATGGTGAACCCTCCGGAAGTTAAAGACGATGGATCGGCCCCGAAACCGCTGACAGGAGAGGAAGTGGTCATCAGCGGCATGTCTGGTATCTTTCCGAAATCCGATAGCGTTTTGGAATTTAAGAATAACCTTTTCAATAAGGTATGTACATTTTCATACATAGATTTTTTTATTGCCCTTGCAGTGGCTTGTAGGCAGACGAGCATACGGGCCACTTCATGATGAGTGATTACCATCGCCCATGGACATGAGCATTGCCAAGCTGCTGCCTACCAAAAAGTATTTAGCAGATTAGCAGCTAAAAGGAAAACTTTCATTAAGGTGGTATTCACGTGAAAACTAAACAGATAGGCAGAGTTATTTTCGTCTAAAAACATTATTTGCAGTCTAAGGTTTAGTAGCACACGTTTAAAAAAATTACCTGTTTGAAATAATCTGTAAGTAGGTGTAATTTTTTTATTTTATTTTTTATTGCTTATATCGGTGGACGACCTCACAGCCCACCTGGTGTTAAGTGGTTACTGGAGCCCATAGACATCTACAACGTAAACGCGCCACCCACCTTGAGATATAAGTTGTAAGGTCTCAGTATAGTTATAGTTATTTGAGATCTCTTATTTTAATGAAACCACATTCTTACTGCATATTAATCCTATCTCTATTAATATACCAATAGATGAAAATTCGTTCAGTACTTCTGGAGACGTGTCTAAAGGTGTTCCATTCTATTTTTATTTTTTCTAGTAAATTACAAGGCAATAGAGCTACTGTTTTAATGTTCTGTTCATAAAATCTTAACTCGAATTAAACAAAGGCATTTAAATTATATGCGTAATTGTGCCTGATCATCAGTAAGCAGAGAACTCGTCTAGAAACTCCTCAAAGTAAGTCAAACTAACAGACCCTTCTTTAATCCTGAAAAGGTGGACATGGTAACACAAGAGGACTCTCGTTGGGTCTTCAACCACCCTGAAATTCCGAAGCACCTGGGCAAGGTCAAAGGCATGGGCAAGTTCGACGCCCAATTCTTCAGGGTCCACTATAAGCAGGCCTGCACAATGGAACCTATGAGTAGAAAACTATTGGAGCACGCGTACAGCGCTATATATGACGCCGGTTTGTATCTATCTAGTATTAAATACAGTTCAGTTTTTAATTGAATCATATTTTGGTCTACACGAAAAAGTAATTGACCACAACCATCAAACATAATATTACATTTATTTATCTTTAAAAAAAATTACTTTCTGTAAAATAAAAAAATGTATATTTATAATGATAAATTAATACATGTATATTGAGTTTATAATAATGTAATTTAAAATATACTAATTGAATTTTTTACATAATGTCTTAAGTGCAATAAAATAAATATTTTGTTGTAAGTAACATTAATTAATTAATTTATTTATTTGGGAAACAAACAGTACAATACAAACATATAATATTTTAAAAAAATATAGCTAAAACAATAACCTAATATGTTTTCACAATCAAAATCACATATGTATATGTAGAAAGTGAACAGAGAAGAAAAATTTAGAAATTTCAGTTACAAAAAAACAAAAGCAACACAATACCCACATATTATTTTGTACATCAACTATACTATTGTAATATATTCCTCCATAGGTATCAACCCTGTTCAACTTTATGGTAAAAAAGTCGGAGTTTTCATCGGAGCCGCGTTCTCTGAATCGGAGAAGATGATTATCTATGAAAACATTCAACGAAATGGCTTCGGTATAACTGGGTGAGTTATAGGACAAAAAATTGTGATAAATATTGAGACCAAGACAAAGTACACCTAGTTTATATGCTAGTAGAGGTGGTATCACTTTTTACATACTGTCATTATTTATAGAGGTATTCACAATTTAATATAATATTGTTACAAATATTGTGGTCTCTGATTACTACGATTTTTTTTTTACTGCTTAGGTGGGTGGACGAGCTCACAGCTCACCTTATGTCAAGTGGTTACTGGAGCCCATAGACATCTACGACGTAAATGCGCCACCCACCTTGAGACAAAAGTTCTAAGGTCTCAAGTATAGTTACAACGGCTGCCCCGCCCTTCAAACCGAAACGCATTACTGCTTCACGGCGGAAATAGGCGGGCATTGAGAACAAAATCGCTGAATCAAGTGACCGAACTCAAAACCACCTTTTAAAATGTTTTATCAACTAAAAGCTTAGACAAATTCGTTTATTTTAATTATTCATTTACAACCAAATTCAATTTGAGAATATTGTTAAACTTGGTTACTACGGCTTAATTTGATTTCCAGTAAATTATTTTGGAAACGAAATTTAGACGCATTTAGCAGTCTGTAACTACGTTAGTCTGGTCGAAGCGGGGAGCTGCACTCTAAAGGGTTAACCACACCAATTAAAATTTACCGGATATTTATCTAATCATTATTTTATGAGTTTTAGACGAATGTTTTGTAGTATAGTGATATTTAGAGAAGGATTTTAAATGTTCTAGATACAAAATTGGTAAACTTTTCCAAAGCCGAAACAGTGTTTGGCCAAGAACCAGAAAATAATATTACTTAACTAACAAAACTAAGCATTCTTATAATCTATACTAATATTCTAAAGAATTGTTTGTTTGTTTGTATTGAATAGGCTACTGAACCGATTTGAAAAATTCTTTTACTATTTGGAAGCTACACTATCCCCGAGTGACATAGGCTATATATAATCTTTTTTGAAATATTAGGGATCCTTAGTAAAACTCCAATAATGTAACCCAAAGTGTAAAAAATTACCTAAAATATTCTTTACATCGCGTGCCCTGCGAATACTATTGATGATAGAATAAAATAATGTACTACGACTTTGTAGAACACATTATTATTTACAAAAAGTGTCACGATAGTATATGTCTAACTATTATAGTTATGCCGCAATAAGTGTTCTTTTATTTTAAAAATAAAACAACGTCAAATATTGTTGAAATTTTTGTTAAAGACCCGAGCGGAGCCGGAGCGGGCCGCTTGTCTTACATAAACTGGATAAAAGTGAAAACGGTAGGCAAATAAATGCATTCCGTTTCAGATGAAATTGTGAATTTTGTTCCTCTGTATTATTTGTATATGCAGCATTAATGGCAGGGAAAAATTACTATTGCAAATTTTTTTTTTGTAAACATGTTAGGAATTACTAGTTTCACTACATTAGTTTTAGTTCAGTCTTTATTTTAGTAAGAGCGATTTCAAATTACCCTGTTAGCCCTTTGCGTCACCATAATATAGGAAACTAATTTTTCTATTAAAGGTAACGAATAGTTTATTTATGATAAAATATAATATTTTATGGGATGTACATTGAAAAAGTTAGTTAAAATTTTCATGACATAAAAAAAGGACAATTCGTCTAAAAACTGTTCTAGGATGGTTAGAGAACTGTTACAAGGGCTGCTAGTTTTATTAAGCTTACAAGGTAATGACTAAGTGTAGTCTGACTTTAACGTCCAATGTAAACAATTAAAATACATTAGCTCAGTCAGATACTCAGTCAGTCAGTGTAGTAACTTTTTTTGACCACAAATAAAATAAAAATGGTGGTACATTTTTTTGACAATTCATAAATATTTTTTATAACAAAAGCTAGTAATGTAAAAGCCATGGTGTCCATTTAATTTTGAATTTAAATTACTTAGTTAATCATTCAGCTATACATATAATTGGGTACACGAGCAGTTTCGGCGAGAATCGGGTGTGTAGGCAGACTTTGGTCGCCCCAACGTACGTGATAATGAACCAGTAATTCAAATCCATACCCACAAAAGTGTATTTACGATTAAAAGCTCAGAAAAACAGGTAGCGTAGGCAGGTAGCGTTTTTAAATATTCTAAAGTAAAATATGTTATTGGATCGCAAGATTTTAGAAATTGTCACGAGCAAGATTACGGTTTTACCACATGTCTTCTTCGTTGTTCAATGTTAGGAATTTTGACACTGGCATCCTCTTTTCGAAAGGCTGTCAATGATTTACTTTAATCAGTTATGTAAACTCGTCATTCACGTAGGCAATCATTGTTCTTAAGGATCCAAATAACAAGAATAAAAACGTCAGACGGAGCACGTAAATCTTACCCTTGTCCACTTGACTTATGGGGAAGTCATTCCCCTTTGACATAGCTGAAATGATAAGTCCCACTGACAACTATTTTAATTAAGAATATGTCTTTAGTTTTTTTCCCTGTCAAGCATAATTAACAGTATACCCACCCACAAAAGGAAATGCTTTTAAGAGTAAGAATTAATTATCGGCTATTGTAGGTCATAGAGCCCAGGAAAGTTGTATGAGGAATCGAATCAGACCTCGTGCTAACGATTATAAAATATCTCTAATCTTTTTTCGTGAAGGACTACCTACCACATGTAGTCTTGTTAGTGGTTATAAATATATCTGCCAAACCTGTGGTCACACCAAAATATATTGGGCCTCTATTTTCAAACAATGTCCTTTGACAATATTGTTATCAATTGATCGGTAATCAGTCAAAATATTAATATATGTACTCTTATTACGGCATCTCTTTGGCTTGAGCCAATGGCCCGCCTGATGTCAAGTCGCTACTGTCGGTCATGAACATTGACAAGTCAAGGACACGACGATGACCTTGTTCATATAAACAAGTCCTCGACTGCAAAGCATGAAAGAAACTACTTAACTTAAAATTTTAGCTATTCATTTTTGTATATGGAAATAATATAGTCAACCCTCGGCAATGTTACGCTAGTCTTATACAAATTTAGTTAAAGCAAATATAATTTGGAAGCCATTTAAACTGGCTTCGGGCGAGGAGGGCTTTTCTATTACAATATAATTGTTTATTTTATCTCTACATTACATAAACATATGTAGAGCTGTAGAATCTGTATATTGAAATACGCATTTTTTATGCGATTTTTGCCTATCACCTGAATTATAATTATATTAACTTTGTTTTTCCATGTGTTCCAGTATCTTATCTTTGGATTTATACATGTAACTCCTCGCGACTTTTCTCGTAGGACGGCTTAGTTACTATTTCTAACTTAATATCTAGTAAAGTAATCTTAAGTTTTTATTTTTTTTATTTTTAAATAAAAGACCTAAAATAATATAATATCGGTCACGGATTTCGTGCGAAAGTTGTTATATCATGTCTGTACCTTTCGTGTAGGTATGCATTGAAGTACTGGGACTGTATATTTATTTATATACATTTATTGTAAACAAAGCGTGGAGTGAGTAGAAGAATTATCATTTTGATAATATCTTAAAAAGTAAACCGCGCTTTTTTTTTTTAAAAAAAATATTTCCTATTTTTTAGTTGGATTTTCTATAAGAACGTGTTTTTAATACGCCTTTATTGACTTTATACGTATCTAACGGAATCTTTGAACATGATTTTGACCCCCTTCAAAACATCGGATTAACCCGAAATTTAGTGTCCTTATCAGGGACTGATGACAATTCAAAATGCTAAGCAGTTAGACCCGTTATTTACTTTCGGCAGTCAAAACAACAAATTCATTTGAGCACCTTCTTTTTTCACATAGCAAATTGGAAACTGTTGTATTTGCATGATTTTAAAATTATGAATAATTTATGATACATAATGCTACTAAATTAAAAAATGAAAATAAACAATAGTTTAACAACTAAAAATACGCTTTTATAGAAAATCCGACTAATAAATAGAAAATAAATTTAAATACATTTGAAATAAGAAAAGTGTAAAATAAAAATAAAAATATTTTACTAGCTGACCCGGCAGAATTCGTAGTGCCTTCATCGATAAAAAAAAACCTAAACTTTTGTATAAAATAAATTTAAAACAAACAAAAGGAATCCATCCGACGGAGGACACATCAAAGTAAAACAAAATTGTTATTTTTATTTCATTCCGAGTATTTTCATATTTATTTACCTTTTAAATCTTCTCTGGACTTCCACAAGTAATTCAAGACCAAAATTAATCAAATCGGTCCAGACTTTCTCGAGTTTTAGTGAGACTAACGAAAAGCAATTCATTTTTATATACCTATATATAGATATAGATTGTAAAAAAAAAACAAAGGCAAAAAGTAGTATTACGCCATTATATGCACTGGTTATTTTCAACCGGTAGCAAGCACAAGTCGAGCCAATTAAACAAGCGAACTTATAATTAGGTTTACATTGAACACGAATGCGAAGTGAACATGCAGTTCCGATCACAAAACATCTTCTTGAACTAGTTCCATTACTCTTGAAGTTTGGAGATTCGTATACAAACTTGTAAAGTCGTTTTAGATCTTACTTACTTTAACGAGGTTTGGATGTGACGGCTTTCCAGAAACCACATCACGGATTTATCATTCGTTGATAAGTTCATTTTAGATTATGTTGGCTAAAATGTGGTATTTTATTTAAGTATGAAACTCACACACTTTCATTTAATTAATTTTTATAAATGTAGTATTTATTGATCAAAGTCAAAAATTAAAAGTTAAGCTAGCTTTATCTTGTAAACGGGCTTTTTAACTATTTGTTAGGTGATTCTTTCAGTTTTTCAGTTTTTTTTCACTTTTTTTATTGCTTAGATGGTTGGACGAGCTCACAGCTCACTTGGTGTTCAGTGGTTACTGGAGCCCATAGACATCTACAACGTAAATGCGCCACCCACCTTGGGATATAAGTTCTAAAGTCTCAAGTATAGTTACAACGGCTGCCACACCCTTCAAACCGAAACGCATTACTGCTTCACGGCAGAAATAGGCAGAGTGGTGGTACCTACCCGCGCGGACTCACAAGAGGTCCTACCACCAGTACAGGCTGGTGGTACCTACCTGAGCAGGCTCAAAAGATGGCTCTTTGATCTGTAAAAAGTCGTTAAGACTACCTCTACTACTACTACGTCATTATTACAATGACTATTGCAATAACGCTAAGCATCCAGAGCTGACTATGCCATCGTCAAACTGGTCATGACTCTAATGAACTACTTAAGCATGATTTTATCTCCCATCAAAGAGGCGTCTACCACTAAATAGCTGTAGGCTAAACTAGGCGTGATTTTCTACATATTCGCCATCAGTGAAACCTATCAGACGTGCCAAAGCTCTGATATATTGATGTATACTTTCATTTATCTCTCGGAGGCAGTGCCTTAGCAACTTTTTATATTTGATGGGAAACAATAAATCTGAGATATGAGAACGGATCGGCGGTATTCATTTGAGATAGTTTCGTTTTACGAGCTTTTTTGGAGTTCCTTGACGGAATCGTGGAGCTTCCGTGCGAAACTTGAAAGCTGTTTGAGGGATCGCTTTGAAATATTTATGTGAGACTGATCTAAGTTTTATTGAAGAGTTTGCATTGTTTTGTATCTTTTGTTGAAGCTTGGTAGATGATCCACGCGTCTTACCAAATGAACTTCGTCTAATGAATTGTGGTTGTTAACGAATTTTTAACTATAATTTGTAGCTCAAATCGAATAAAAATAAACAAAGAATACTAAAACCACAACATCGGTTAAAAAATATATATACCTAATTAAAATTGTTGATCACGCAATATTTGTTTAATTATAATCAAATATTGTTTGTATATTTCTCTGAATCGCACTTATTTATCTAATTTAATGAAAAATAGTTCGCACTAGGTTTAGCGGATACCGAGTTAGTTACGGCTTAACGGTTACCGATTAGCTATTAGTGGTTACCGAGTCACGGGCCTTTACACATCGTTTGGTATTTGCTGTTGATTTAACAAATTTTTGTTTGTATCCTATCTACGTGGCAAAATATAATTTATTCTGTAGTGTATTGACTGTATTTTGTCTAAAAACAGATGGTTAATCATTAAAAATGTCTTAAATAGATGAGATGGCGATAGAGACTCGTTCCACAAATTTTAATATGGTCATCAATACGGAACCCAGTTCACAGACACACAGATTGCACTAAAATTGTTATTTTTTTATGTATTTCGTGGAAGGATTTCATAGGATTTACTTTCAGGTTTACTTTTGTTTCGCTCTGATTCACGGCTCTAGTTTTTCATAAGGTATACATAAATATAGCATGCGGAGAAATATTTCGATGAACAATGCAATCTTTGTAATTCGTTAAAATGTAAACAGACCTAGTAATGTATTTAAAAATATGTTTTAAAAATTTAATATCCAATTGGAACAAAAAAGAGAATAAAAACAAATAATCAGTACGTGGATAAGAATGGCAGGCGATCGAACATTATGGCATAAAAAGAGGAGGCCTATACCCAGAATAATAGGTTGGGGAAAAAGTCTTTTCGCATCATAGTATGTATGAACTTGTAAAAAAATCTCTTTGGCTATACTATTTGTATCTGGTTGGTATTATTAAAAGTTTAAATTTTAAAGAAGATAATTACAAATTCTAATTAGGAAAATGTGTGATTTTTATTTATTTTTCGTACTGTCAAGAAGAGTGAATCTAATGAGAAATTCGAATTAGGTATCAAATGGCTGAAGAAAAAACCCCAACCCAACCAATCCGATCATAACCCAACATCCCGGCGGAATCACCCTATCACCTCTATCTTGAACCACCAAAACACAACAATAACAATGACTGTCGAAAAATTCACCGTCAATTTTAAAAAACAATAGGCAATTTCGATTCAATGAACATGCTTTTACGGAATTATAATAGAATGAATTTGAAAAACAAATTTTACAAAATTACAACGACTTAAAAAACACCAAATTAGGGAGTTTTTTGTTGTTCTAATCATCTATTGTATGGTAAATTTCTAAATGATGTACATACTTTCAAATATATACATGAATAAATAATAAACACTTCAGACAAAGATTACCCGAATGCTTGCTTAATGTGGGAATCGAACCCACGTCTTAGCGCAGTAATCAATTACGCCTATTTACTGCGCCGAGTCAGTCAATTAATTTAAGATTTAGATACGACAGCGGAACCGATATTAACAGAAGACCGTGAACTCACGGATGAACTCTTTTATTTATTTATTGCTTAGATGGGCTGGGACGAGCTCATAGCCCACCTGGTGTTAAGTGGTTACTGGAGCCCATAGACATCTACGACGTAAATGCGCCACCCACCTTGAGATATTAGTTCTAAGGTCTCAGTATAGTTACAACGGCTGCCCCATCCTTCAAACCGAAACGCATTACTGCTTCACGGCAGAAATAGGCGGGGTGGTGGTACCTACCCGCGCGGACTCACAAGAGGTCCTCCCACCAGTAAAATAACTCATTCATCTTACTAAGAAATAAATAAGTAAAAATATATTTTCATTCACACAATCATTTTCAGAGGCAACAAAGCTATGTATGCGAACCGAATCTCCTACTGGATTGATGGGAAGGGCCCATCTTATGCCCTGGATGCGGCTTGCGCCAGCTCTATGTCGTGCTTAGAGCACGCCTATAGATGCATGAGCACGGGTCAATGCGAGGCAGCTATTGTGGGTGGATGTAACCTCTGCGCTCATCCGAATGTTACTTTGAATTGTAAGAGGTAACTATTTTGATGCTTTTCTTTTTTAAACGCTTTTATTAGCTCCAGGTGTATGTATGTTAGTATGTAACGGAATCTTTGAACATGATTTTGAACCCCTTCAAAACGTCGGATTACCTCGAAATTTGGTATACTTATTAAGGATCGATGACAATTCAATATTTAAAAAAAAATTGAAAAAATTGAAAGTTAACTAAAAAATGAAAAATAAATAATAGTTTAAAAAAACCAACAAAATACGCATGCATGCGTGTGATACGTACTACTGATACAATGTGCATGGTATCAGTAGTTATAAATATTTTGTGAACAGATCTGAGTAGAAGAATTATTTTGATAATATCCTGAAAAGCACCCGCTTTTTTACAATAAAATTATTTTTCTTACATACATTTTTAATTAAAATTTATTAAGTTTTATTTTCTATTTTTAGTGGGATTTTCTATAAAAGCGTATTTTGTTAGTTTTTAAACTATTATTTATTTCTATCATGTTAGTGATCACGTTTAAATTAATTTCTTCAATTCTGAACAATCATCATTGTTTAAATAATGACTTCTTTAAACTGAGGTATTCTGTAAAATTTAATTTAAGACCGACTCATTTTTTTCACTGATATGATAAACAATTTTATTTCAGGGCTGGTTTTCTTTGTCTGGATGGTAAAACAAAATGCTTCGATAAGAACGGAGACGGCTATGTTAGATCTGATGCAGTCAGCGTCCTATTCTTGCAAAAGTCCAAGAATGCTAAGAGGTAGGATAATCATAATAATGTTACTCGCTGGGGTTCGGGATAAATTAATGTTCCACCAAAGTACAACTTAAAACTGTATTTATCACTTAGAACACATACAGAACACTTTAAAATCCTCAATTTGCTTCTTTCGCTTCGCTTCAAGTGATCCGTAGCTGTTTCGCTTCGAGTAGTCCGACTACTAACTGACTGCGTGCCATCTCTGCAACGCTTTTATAGTTGATACGACATCCCTAGATTTATCAAGAACATTCTGGACAAGTCAAGTAGCTTCGATGTGTGTTTTCGCTATCTGATAATAGATGGCGGTGTACTTCTCGAGCGCTCTAGATCCTTCGATATTCGTCCGACTATTCGGCGATAGATGGCTCTCTTATCAGCGTAACAATAATATAGAGCGAGTGCAATTATGATTGTAATTACGCAATCGCGTCAAACACTCAATATAGATGAGTGCGTATCCTAGATTTAACACGATTTTTTAACTATAGGTAGATCATTCGTATTGGGAGTTTGGGGAATTCAATGAGTTAATAGCCGGTCCAATGGTCTATCTTTGGTTTAAAGATCTAAATGTTTGCACGAACTGATCCCATAACTTTACCTCAAAGCCGCGATCAAATTGGTAAACCTTTGCGGAAATTAGCCCGCACAAAAGTCCAAAGAAATAAACGCAGAGTCTGTTTACGATTTCATTAAATATGATATTGAGAGACATTCGAAACATTTGAACAAACCTACATAATATTAATTTACAATGTTCTTTTTCTATAATTTTTATTATAAAATCGATTTTTTTATATACGAAGGTTTTAAGGATATACCTTGAATCCGGAATATCGTTGCAACACATTTTAATATTTAGAGCTTAACAAAAATGTACGCTAATTTTGAAACTAAGTTCTTAAAGCTATTTATTGTTTGTCTCGGAATTGTTACATACAGTATTTTGGTTGTACCGCAGTTCTCTTTAGGAAGCAGTGAAGTGGACAAACATCCACTAACATACTAAGCGACATTTACAATTCTATGACGTTTGAAATTCACTTCCCTAAGTACAGAACGCGTTTCGCTCAAGTTTTCTGATTCTGAACTGAAGTTTTAGTTACTCTTCTAGATAAATTCACCATGAAAAATTAAATATTCGAATTAACGAACTTTAGTTAATACGTTATGTCAAATTTATGTGCATTTTGTCGTCAGAATAAGAACTATTTCAACTGGTAATAGAGAATACTATAAGACTGTAGAGATGGTCGCCATCGTCTCTACCTGACTTGAGATGCGTCATGGGTCCCGATTCGTAGAGTAGGAGAGCTTCCCTTCTAAAACAACTGAGACTTCAAGCTCATGCTTCATGTTGCTATATGGTACTAGCATTGGGGTCTCTATGCTTTCTGGTAACAATTTAACACAAGGCGGGCCTTGAATTAATTTTCCTGAATTCATTAAAAAAATGGGTGTCTGTCTGAAAAAAATCAACACCGGCACAGTCACATCGCTTTGTACAGGGGCCCCTTGTGTGTTTTAAGGCCACAACAACTGATAGTCAAACAAACTTATTATAATTATCTTAACTTGAATAAAATGCCTCAATTACCCCATTTACTTCCAGGATCTACTCAGAAGTATATTACGCGAAAACTAACTACGGTACAAACGTAAATGCTGATGAATTTCTACCAATCCGTGAACCGAAGGAGATACAGGAATTCCTTGAAGCGTTCTACTCTGAAATCGACGTTTGTCCTAAAGACGTGGAGTACATTGAAGCGTCTGGTGCTGGTACGTGAAATACTTTAATTAAGTTGCGGGTGAACCTCCGGATTTACGAAATTCAAATTCAAATTCAAAATCATTTATTTCAACTTGGATGTCATCAAAAACACACTTGTTGAATGTCAAAATGTAAAAGAAAATGTTAACTCTACCAAAGACCATAGATATCAAAATTTCGAAATTGAAATTTCAATGGGCTTTTTTATTTATTACCCTTAAGATCCGAATTCCAATACTGATTTGAGGTAGTGATAAACAAAGGTAGCAGCTCTGATTCGTAAGACAGATAATTAAAATGGTATTAGAATTGAATGGCTTACGTTAAAATATATGATCCATAGATACCAAATTGAGCTGAAATATCAGTTTTATTGGAGTGATGACTATCATATCAGTTGATCATAAATGCATAACAGTCTGAAATGATTTTTTTGATACTTTATCGATGTTGGATCGTGTGTCGATTTGGTGTCACAAATGTAGTCGTCACATACTGTTATACCTACCTTCACGCTTCACATGAAAGTTTAAATGCGTGATACACAACTTTACTTTCATTACATGTTGTGTTGATATAATAGTGTAGATACTTACAGCATTATTTTTTCTATAGCCATTGCTGAAGCCGACGGTAAAGAACTTGAGGCAATCGGTAAAGTGTTCGCTAATGATAAAACTATCAAAGTGGGATGTGTCAAGTCAAACATGGGGTCAAGTGAAGCGGCCTCTGGAGTTTGTGCTGTTACTAAGGTAACTGAAATAATTTACAGCATTTTTGAAACGCCGTCATACCGTTAAGGCTTAGTGAAAAAATACGTCAAACTAACAAAAAAATTGATGTGTAGTGTCGTGGGACACCGGATAGGAACGAAGTTACTTATTATAAAAATATTAATTTTAAGTTCTATTCGAGGTATAAAGAAAATAAAACTGGAGATTTCGCAACAACACACGGTCATTTGGTAACGTGCGAACTTATTGTGGTACACTTCATTCACGGTTGTTTGCACAAGAGTAAGTGTATTGAGCAAACGAACGCTCTGAGATCTTGGTCAATGAATGATAAAAAAATATGTTATTTTTTGTACGTTATTACAAAGTTAAGTCGTACACTGTGTGCATTACTAATAAAAATCTTACGTTACGGACTTTTTTTCCCGGTTAGGGTACCCTTCCCCATCGTCCCATAAGGAACTTCGTTCCAAAAATATGCAGCTACCGATCAAGAATAATATTTTGGAGTTCCCGAAACTCTGATAGGAGTCATAGTGATAAATTAATGAAATTACTGTATACAAAAGAAAATGCGTGTATAAGAAAACGTTTTTAGTTGAGTCCCCAAAGAAGATAAAAATATGTATATTCTTACAGTATTCACTGATCTTATAATAACGCTGAGATCCTTTGACCTCTGATAAAATATATAAAGTTACCTCAATTATCGAATGGGAAACTTTGAAATGTATTGAGCGACTTATGATACTTATTCCTAGATATTTTTTGATGGCCGAAGTATCGTCGTTAAAGTTTATTCACCCGAATGAATACGTTCTCACGACGTTCTTCAACAACAAATCCAAATGATTATCAAATGAGAATAAGATATTTGACTAACTTATTAATTTTCATTTTGAATTCTGTTTTTAGGTCTGTCTAGCATACCACGAGGGAAAACTCCCAGCTAATTTACATTACTCCGAACCACAAGATCAAATTGATTCCGTGCGCGACGGGAGAGTCCAGGTTTTAACTGACAATTCTCCTTTCAAAAGAGGCTTTTCCGCTTTGAACATGTTCTCTTTTGGTGGAGTCAATTTGCATGTCTTATTAAAGGGACACTTCAAACCTAAGGTAATAATAATTTAAGCATAAAGTAATACATTTACAACTTAACATAATTTTTTATAATAACATTAAAGAGCAGTGAAAGACCTTTAAGAACAAGACCGATAAACAGCCAAGCTATCCCAGGATTGAATCAGGCGTAATCATATGATTATGAGTATAACTTGCATATTATGCCACATCATAGTCGGTTGCTCAGCAGAGCAGTCGTGGTCATGTGGAATTCTTGCTTGTTAAAGCCTTGATAGATGTTTTCCATAGTTTGCGAATCGAGGCCCGGCGTTTTGGGCATTCATTAAACAGCAGTAACTGGGGCTTGGTCATGGAATGATGCAGCTATTGTTACCGTAAACAAACCGTCGATCATTTTAGTAAATATGTTCATAAATCGCGACCTAATACTATGATTAATAATATGAAAATGGGCGTAAGGGTACCACATACAACCGCCTATATGCCGCGGAGTAGTTTGGTTTGAAAGGCGAAACAGCTGTTATGGAATTGACACTTCGACTTTAAGATAGTTGACGGCATTCACGTTGTGACGCTATTCATATGTCCGCTAACCACTCAACGCCAGTTGGGTCATTTGCCTGTTCATCCATCAATGCAGTAAAAATGTTAAGCCCATAAACTACCTTGAACAAGAAAATATACGCAAGATATAACCCAGAGGCTACATAATATATGCTTCATGGGTGTTGATAACGTTTATAATATAACTAGCTGTACCCGTCCGCTTCGCTGGGCACTTAAAATTAACATTATTATTTCTCACCCCCACAAAGATTCTTTAACGACCCCGCAACTGGTGTAGGGAGTCCAATTTTTCATATAAATATTGGCCCATCCATTAAGTGCATGTATTTTTCTACATGGATACCAAGTTTCAAGTCAATCGGATGCATGGTTCAGTAGTTATAACGGAACATCCGTAAAAACCTCTGCAGATTTATATATTAGTATAGAAGTATAGATATGTATATGTGTAATGACAATGTTGTAAAGTTTCTGACATCGCTCATGACAGTGAACGATGTGTCCACTTAATCATTTCTAGAACATAACATCTGTCATCACTTACAAATCGTACTATCGATAAATCAAGATAAACGTTACACGTTCAATGGCTAAGCTAAGGTTGTCTGCGATTTAAGGTTGCAAATATACAGATGCGGGAACCCAGACATTTAACGTCAAATATATTTAACAAAGGTCTTGATTACTTTACTGTAAGGCCATTAGTACATGAATAGATATGCCTTTTTCGGAGTAAAAAACTTATTGAAATTTTAAGGAGCCTTAATATTATACTAGCCTAATATCTTAAGTTGAATATTTTATGTTGAAACTAAAAGAGACCAACACAGCTTCTTATTAAATCAACAATAATAATTATAAAAAAAAAAACGCTTTTTCTCTTTTCAATCAACTTATTCCCCATCTTCTTTTGTTTTAATTTCAGGACCTACAACGCTACAAAAGCAGCATACCTCATTTAGTGCTAGCATCCGGTAGACAGAATAACTGCGTAGAGAAGATTTTCGAATCACTAAAGAATAGACCCGTTGATGCCGAGCAAATTGCACTGATACACGACATCCATGATTACGAGATAGCTGGACATATGTGCAGAGGATACATACTACTTGGTATATCACCTTTATTTAACTAACGTAGTTGGGCCAGTTAGTTTATATTTCACTTGACTTAGCGCTTGTCATATTGAGAGATTTTGAGAGCGAAGTCTTCGTCGCGGTGGGCAACATAGGTGTGCAGGCTTCCGTTTCACAAGCAGTCTTCATTAAATTAATTAGGGTTTTATTATTTAAATACAATTTTAGAGTTAAATTAATTAGTAAGAGGACATCAATAATGATATTTAAAATCAGGGTGTTGTTACTGCCAGAGCTAACGAAAGTCGAATGAAACCTCTAAGCAAAAAAAATCGAAGTATTTATTTAACAGTTAAAGATGTTATATGAGATAATTTAATATACGAAATAAAAGAATAAGTAATATCTATAAAGAAATGAGTATTTGGACTGGATGGTTGTACTGTTAAAAAGGAAACTTTACAACTCATGTCTCGAAGTGAGTGGTGGCATTTAGGTTGTAATATTATTATAGATGTCTATGGGCTTTAGTAACCACTTAACATCAGGTGGGCCGTGAGCTCATCCACCCACCAAATCTAAAAAAAGAGTAAAGGATGACTTTCATCAATTGGACATAAATAATCATTGAGCCCTTGCTCCTGGCTTAGCCCTTGCTTTGCCCACCTGGCCTGGTAAAACTGAAAAGGCCTCTAGGCCACCAGCATTCTCTCAAACATAAAAAAAAATCTTTCTTCGACAGCAATACAATATACTTTAAATTAAGGAATGAATAACCGTATTTCAACTTATAAAATCATTAACCAAAAATTATATTTAACTATTAAGCTGCAGTGCGATTTGTAACATGCCTATAATCTTTTTTTAGAAAACAATGAGAACAATGAAACGGTCTGCCTCAGTGAAAGCATAGAGTACTGCCCAGGTATTACTCGTCCGGTGTGGTTCGTCTACAGTGGAATGGGAAGCCAATGGGCTGGTATGGGAGCTGAATTAATGAGGATTCCTGTATTTGCTGCTGCTATTGAAAAGTAAGTTCGAATTGCTATCTGAAGCATCTGTGGCATAATATGTAAGATATTCTCGTAATCATATGATTACGCCTGATTCAATCCTGGGATAGCTTGGCGGTTTATCGGTCTTGTTCTTAAAGATCTTTCACTACGAAGGAACTACATATTGTGATGAATCCAACCCGTAGACTTAAGGTGAAATACGACTGATATCGCCTTGTTCTGATACAAAACCCTCGTGCTTTTTCGTTTGATAAGTTCCTACTTATCAGACTCAATTGTATTTTATCAATTAATTTCCTAATTTATTAAAATATATGTAAATTCCTAATTAATTTAAATTAGTTTAATTTCCTAATTTATTAATAAAATACAATTGAGTGTTTGTCATACCGAGTTGATCAGCAGAGCATTGTGACAATTACATTCTGCTCTATAATCTCATAGAACGTAATAACACTACAACTTTTTACTAAACATCACTAGCAAAAATTAAAAGTTATATATGGTGCTTAACAATGAACAAGAGAAATAACAATGGCTGTAATGTGGACGTTGTTAATGTTTAACGACCTTTAGTTTCACAAAACTTTAACTGTGGCTAAGAAGAACAAGAGTTTTAATAAATTTTCTTAACACTATAAATAACAAACTTAACAGTCTAATTTGGAATAATTTAAATGAAAGAAACGCTTTAACTAATCTCCTATTCCCAACACTAGTTAAGCTTTCTAATTTTATTACTATCACAGCCACTACTAGCCAGAAAGGTTTTCTTAAATGAATATATTTTACTTTTCACCGCCAGATGCCACAAAGTTCTCGCGCCCAAGGGTATTGATATCGTCCGTATCCTGTGTGAACCAGATAAAACTATCTTTGACAACATTCTCCATTCATTTGTTGGAATTGCCGCGGTCCAGATCGGACTTACCGATGTCTTAAGAGAAATAGGAATAGTTCCTGATCACATCATTGGTAAGTGAATGATTTTTTATAGCATACAGCAAAAACTGCTATTAAACGTAATCATTAAAAGTGAATATTTGCAGTTAAGCATTAAGCTATAATTGCTTAAATAACTTAAAACAAAATCAATACTAAGAAATAACAAAACACTAATGAAGCAACTTATAATAGTTCAAATTCTTAATGAACAGAATATTCTATAATATGTTGTTCACTTTATACACCAACACAGGAGCATTTGGTTAATATCTATACACAGATTCATATTCACGTACAAGTTTTTTGGAACGAATTTCCTTATGGGACCATGCGGAGGAGTACCCTAACCGCGAAAAAATGTCCGTAACGTAAGATTTTTATTAGTAACGCACACAGCGTACGACTTAACTTTGTAATAACGTAGAAAAAATAACGTATATTTTTATCGTTCATTGACCACGATCTCAGAGCGTTCGTCTGCGCAATACACTAACTCTTATGCAGACAACCGTGAATGAAGTGTACCACAATAAGTTCGCACGTTACCGAATGACCGGGGGTTGTTGCAAAACTCCAGTTTTATTTTCTTTATACTTCGAATAGAACTTAATATTAAAAATTTTATAATAAGGAACTTCGTCCCTACCAGGTGTCCCACGACACCACACATTTTTTAAAATATATTTTTTGCAACTGCTCATTTACATTGGCAGGTCACAGTGTGGGAGAATTAGGATGTGCTTACGCTGACGGTTGCTTCACTGCAGAAGAGATGATTTTATCAGCGTATAGCCGTGGTCTGGTTTCTGTGCAAACACCATTCATTCGTGGGTCCATGGCCGCCGTTGGACTGGGATATAAGAATGTAAGTAAGCAGTGAAGCTGACTAGATCTACAACCTTTACATAATAATTGCTGAAGCGGCAAGCAAGAAAGTTGTTTAGTTTTCAAAGGCCTTCGCAGTAAATTCAGTTTTGTATTAGAGACTTAGTACCTAACACAAATGATAAAAAGTGATGGTTTTGGTAATATTGATTTGGTTTTAGTGAAAACACTGGAAGTAACAGCAGTTGGACCGGTAATAGGCAAATCTAACCATGAATAACGTTGCTATTAAAATCGAATTTTTCAAAAACTATTAAATGAAACAAAAAAAAATACAACGACCAATTTAATGATTATTTGTAAAATCGAGACGCATTATTTAAAGCAAAGTAGTTTCCAAAATACGATGCTAAATGTGAAAGCGTTAGGGAACAGATGAAAACGCATGCAAAAGTGTATCAAGAAAAGCGTACTTAGTTTTCTTTTATTTTTTCCACTCTCGAGTAAAATAGGGTTTTAAAATATCCTTACATATTACAGATCCTACCACTCTGTCCGCCTGAAATCGAAGTGGCTTGCCACAATAGTTCGGATTCTTCAACAATATCAGGACCCGCTGAACCAATGAAGAAGTTCATCTCTGAGCTCACCAGTAAAGGGATATTTGCCAAAGAAGTTCCCTGCTCTAACATCTCGTTTCATTCGAGATACATAGCTGATGGCGGTAAATATTGAAGTGTTACTTACCGATTATAATAAATAAACTATGCTCATGTATTAGGTCCTTACATATGAAATTGGCGTTTTGTACGGAAGGAATATGAAGTCATTTTTTTTTGTAAAATATATTTAATTAATCAAAGTGTGCACCGTTGTTATCTATGCATTTTTGCCATCTCTTATTTAGTTCATTGATCCTTTTACTAAAAAAGCCATGGGTGCAAGAATCAATAAACTTTTTGAAGGTGGTTTGGACTGCCGCATCGGAGTTGAATTTTTTTCTTTGTAAGAAGTTGTCCAAATTCCGGAAAAAATTGTTATCTGTTGGAGCAAGGTCCGGGGAATACGGTGGATGTCGCAGAGATTCCAATTGTAGCCCATCTAACCTAGTGGTTGTTTGTTGTGCAGTGTGTGGTAAGACCACTAATTTCATATGTAAGGACCTAATATTTTAAATAAAATAAATACTAGATGCTATATTTAACAAGACCGAAAGGAACAAAACTCAGTATAAGACTGAATTAATACGTTGTATTTATAATTCTTAATGTTAAAATTTTAAGTACATAGCAGTCTAAAAATATGTATACTCGTAGAATATACCTTGCATATTATTATTATTTTGTTTATAAAGGTCCTGGCCTTTTAAAATACTTGAGTGATGTCATCAAAGACCCGAAGCCACGGAGTGAAAAGTGGGTATCTACATCTGTACCACAAGAAAACTGGGATGATCCTAAAGCGAAGTTCTCGTCAGCCGAGTATCACACTAATAATTTATTGGTTAGTATTTTGTGTTGCCATGTTTTTTTTTGATTCCAAGATATTATTTATGCAAATCTTGGATTTTAATTGTGTTTTATTGATATTCTTATGGATTAACGTTAAGTAGAAATTCTTCGAACACATTGTAGTTTTTTAAATATTTGTAATTAGCTATTAGTTTGTTTTAGCTTTGCATTAAGATTTTGTGTTACTCAAAAATAATTTTAATTTTATTTTCTTAGAACCCAGTACTATTCGAAGAAACTTCAAAGCTAATACCATCAGATGCATTGGTCATTGAGATTGCACCTCACGGATTATTACAAGCGATCCTTAAGAGGTCTATGCCGGAATGTCAACATCTTCCCCTGACCAGACGAGGACATGTTGATCCCGTAAAATTTTTACTGGAAGGAATTGGAAAGTAAGTGATTTGAATTAATTGGAAGGAATAGCTCAAAACTTTTGCAGCTATCCACACCATGAATACTATTATTAAACGGGTTCTAACCACGTAATAAAATGTTAAGACCAGACAAGCCTGGTTGATACGAAGAATTTTAAATCTACCTGGTTAAACACCGCCATTTTGCCTATTTTTACCACCAAGCAGTCTTGCGTCTTAATTTGAAGGGTTAGATATTCGGAATACACTAGAATTGAAACTTTGATTCCATGATTGTGATGTCTACGAGCTCCAGTATCAATTTAACAAAAGATGGATCATATGGATCATGGAGCATGAGTTTGTTCACCCTTCTATGTAATAAAAATGGCTTCCATTCAAAATTAATAAAAAATCCATACCATTCCAATTTCCATTCCAATAATAAAAATGGCTGCAAATTCTTCAGGCTCAACGCTCAACTGACAACTTTATTTCCCTGAGCAACATTTCTGTTTAGCAATTATGAAATATTTTAAATTAATAAATTCTTTATTTCTCTAGATTATACGAATTGGGATTAAACCCAAAAATCAGTGCTCTATATCCAAAAATCGAGTATCCTGTGTCTACTGAGACTCCTCTACTGTCGCACCTGGTTGAATGGGAACATAGCGAAACTTGGTACGTTTAAAAATATAAAGTTTCATAAAATATTATCACGATATTATTATATGCGATTTGAGGATACTAATAGTACTTAAAACCGGCACATAATTCCGTGAACGTCTTTTGTTTATTTTAGTAAATTTTAGAATAATTGCTTGTAGTATTGCAGATGAAATATTTTCCACCAAAACGGGCTTTTGCTCGAAATTGTATTTTGTTAGTGCACGACGACTAATATTTTTCATGGTATTAGATTAGCTTTTCAAGAAAGCCTAGTAGGGCAGTAATCGAAATGGTCTACGGTTACAAAACAGCCAAAATTCAAGTGGTAAAAGAAATGAATATTGCTAGAAGCGGATGTACGTTTTCAAATATATTTTTTGTTATGTTACATTTTCGGCTTTGGAATGAACGTCCTTTGACGGTGCTTCTCGAACGCTATGGAATGTCCTTTTTCAAATAAGGCTATGGGAAAACCCTGCACGGTAGATAGCGAAGGGATTCTGCCTCTGGTGTTACTCACATCTGCGACGTGACAGTGACTGCTCAATATCAGATGAGCCGTATTCTTGTCTAGCTACAGTAGGAATAAAAATATCTTGTTCATTGGATATGATTTTGTTTTCAGGCCTCAAGCCATTTATAACACTAAGCACAGAGTGACCGCTCCGTGCTATGAATTCGTCATGTCAATCCACGACGATGACTTCAAATACTTCAGGGGTCATAATAGAGAAGGTAAATTATTTCTGAATATTGAAATTCTAAAAAACTACTACACCATAAAAAATAAAAGTTAAATAAAAAACGGATGAAGGAGTTGTCATAAAATACAATGGATTACCACTTCAAGAATATCATGGAGAAAATGTAATTTCCACAAATAAATCGTTGGAGCCCTTTTCGAGATTCAGATTATAAATATATTAATATACAAGAATTGCTCGTTTAACGGTATAAGATTATACAACAGATGTCTTCGAAAAATGAGTAACGAATTTTGTTTGGAAGTCGATTTCTATATTCTGTTAGTCAAGATGCTGTCCACATACTAATTCAAATAATAAAATGTAAACAGGAATCTGCGTTCTACCAGAAGCCGCTTTTCTAGTGAACGTTTGGCAAACCCTGGCCATGTACAACGGGAAGAACTACAAGGATATGTCTGTTGTATTCAAAGATCTTAAGTTCCGGGGCGAAGTAGCCATCAGGGATGAAGATACACTGAAATTTTCGTTCATGATACATAAAGGAAATGCTAGATTCGGGGTTAGTTCGTAGATTAATCAATTTTATCCTGACAATATGTCTAATGCTCTATGAAATGTGAAATATATAAAAAATAGTATATTTTATTTAATATCTCATGTGAATCCAATATTAAAGCAGCGTATCTAGAAAATGACATTATGCTCACTATACTATAATATTACATAAAAAAAAAAATTCAATAAAAGCAAGCAATGAAAACAAAATACGTCTGTCTCATGCTAAGTAGTTACCGCAGCCTATATATAGACTTCGCAATGTGAATGCCTCCATGGACTTTGAGATTTGAGGTCTTAACTGTCTAGTACACAATTGAACTTCAATAAATTTCGGCTCTTTAAAAAAAATTTATGGTAAAAAAACTTGTAGGATTCGAAGATCGGGCGTCTTTCCTTAAGGCCACGACGATTGTTTAAGCAGTATCACTATTTATACTGTTACTGTAATGTAGATACTATTATGTGTTTTAATATTAATCTTATTGTTACTATTATGTGTTTTAATATTAATCTTATGTTAGGTGAGTTACGAAAACACTGAAATAGTCAGTGGTTTTGTAAAAGAAGCTGTGACGGAAGATTTCGCCGATCGTAATCCCCCTCAAAGCGATGATACAGATGATATTGCACTGGATTCAAAAGACGTTTACACTCTAATGAACTTGAGAGGCTACTCCTATAGGTAAGTATACTTTGGGTCAAGCTACGAATGAAATAAACTTAACCTGCCCCAAAGACGATTTTATAAATAAACTAGCCGTACTCGCCGGCTTGGCTGCGCATTTATAATTAACATTATTATTTATTGTCATTATTATTAGGGAGTCCAACACTCATATAAATATTAGCCCATCCATTAAGTACATGTATTTTCTACATGGATATCAAGTTTCAAGTCAATCGGATGCATGGTTCAGTAGTTATAACGGAACATCCATAAAAACCACTGTAGATTTATATATTAGTATAGATATAGAGTTCTTAAATTAAGGAAGAAATTGAAATTATTTAAAAAGTTTTGTATTTTCAGCGACGCATTTCAGTCAATCCACTCGACTACATCGAGCCGTAAGAAAGGAATTATCAAGTGGTCAGAAGACTGGATATCATTCCTTGATGGTCTAATTCAATTAAACGCTTTCGCTAAAGACCACGACGGTGTTTCAGTACCGACAATAATAAGGAAACTGTCCATCAATGTTGAAGAACACAAGAACGCTAAAATGATTGCTTTAGATAATGTTAATTGTATAAATGCTGAAATCTATGATCATTACAACTATACAAAGTGAGTGTTAAAAACTTTTATCTAAATCCTAAGTTATTTCACAGTATTCAGACATATAAAAATCTAAATTAAATTTAAATGTAATGCTACTGTTTTTAAATTAATATTAATTAAATTTAACGTATTTTGCATAGTCTCGTACTTCATTTCAATAGTATTATTGTAAGGTTTGATAAGAACGATCAAAAGATTTAGTGTCAGTTGCAATACGCAAAGATATTACTAAAGCCTTTTTGTAGTGCTTAGATGGGTGTACGGCCCATCTGGTCTAAAGTGGTTACCATAGACTATAGACCATAGAAATAAAGAACGTTAATGCAGCCACCCATTTAGAAAATGAGTTATAAGAGACTCCGTTTTTATAGTACAACAACTGTCCCATCCTTCCCATCAAAATACATTACTGGTACCTACCTACTTATGCGGGCACACAAACCTACTTATCGTGATAGTGGTAGTCATGACTACGCATTACAAGTATCATAAATCATGAATTATATGATTCCAGAGACTAGTGATTAAACAATTTTCAATTATGACCACACTTTTAGGTCAATGACTATTTTCGATCTGGGAAATAAAGTAACATGGTTCATTTTTGGAATTTCAGAATATTTGTAACAGTTAGTATGGTAATACAATATGATTGCTCTTTCAGATGTGGTGGAGTTGAATTAGTTGGACTAACGTTCAACGATAAACCAGCAGTTGAAAAAGAACCTGATGTTATGCAATCTAGAGTATTTGTTCCATACTTTGTAACTGGAGTAGTTGATGTTAGTATTTTTTTTCAATCTGTTAACGGTCTGCTATCAATCATAACTTATTCCGTGTCTATTACTAGGTTTTTTTTGTCTAATTCATTAATTTTGTTAATTAACAATACAAAGTCTATATTGCTCTCAATTTACTTTTTAAATCTTGATAAGATACTCTATGATACAATCAAGTATAAAGTCAAAACAGTTTCATATGTTTTTCATAGTAATTCAAAATCTGCTTATTGAATTTAAATGCAGAAAAAATTATGAAAATTGCCGCAGAATATTCTGATTTTGAGTTAGAGTATAATTTTAAATTGAATTTCATAGCTCAAGACTGCGCTACAAGTCTCTTTTGGAACCATAAGTGACAATGTAAATGGCGAGGAAGTCAATGTGATCGAATGCTTGAGATCAGAAGACCACGAAATCTCAAAGCTCATCAAGGAAGTGACAAGAACACATGCAAGCGCTAATTTCGACGTTGTTTCTGTTGAATCATTAGATTTGAAAGCAGTTAGCGGAGCAGATGTCCTGATTACTGTTAATTTGTTAGGAAACGAAATGGTAAGATTTTACTTCTAGCCTTGTTTAATAGATTTACTATTAATTTTTGTTGTTGATACAATCATTTCAATAAAATTTCTCTAATCTCACAGACTGGCGATTGTCGTTATTCAAATTTTAGTTCGCAATAATAATTTTGTCAGGATCTCACTTTATGATATTTTACCGTTGAAGTCATATGTTATAATGTATATTAAACTATAATTGACTTAAGTGTTTATTAATATAATATTGTAAGAAATAAGAAATGCTATGTTCATCCCATCATTATATTTTATAATATGTACATTATTGATTTTTAATGATTGATGTATTTCTTACCATTCTCCTTAAGCCACAATAAAAGTAGGCTCTTGAGAACCTACAGAGTTGCAATTCAGATTCTAAAAAGGGCTTACTTGTAATGTAACAAATATATTATATTTTATTTCAGGAAATGAAGAAAATACATGATAGTCTACGCCAGAATAGTTTCATCCTATCCATGGAAGAAGACATTAGTAATATCAATCCGGATCACTCTCTTTTCACAACTGTATCAGCCATGTCCGTTCAGAACCATATATTGGTTTTGCTGCGCAAGACCTCGGAGGATATTGATGTTACGTTTATGCCTATCAATCACGACATAAACTTCACTTGGGTATCACGGTTGAGGAACGAAATCGAAAAATCAAGAAAGGTCGTTTTGATTTCAGAGAGACAACCCTATTGCGGACTTTACGGTAAGATCTTTTTTAAAAAAATATCTGTCTTTTAATTTATCTATTGCTTTATATAAAAACAACATTAGGAAGATCTTTCACCGGGCGACTATCGCTACTCAGTAGACCGACGACGTGAATGTGATTGTTCGGATTCTGTATAATTGGAAACTTGAAGCAGCTGCCCTTGAACTGTCTGTTGGCTCCTGGGCCTTTGAGGTTGTACGTTTGTTGTATCTTATCCCTTGTTGTTTAGAACTTGTATTTCTATCTGCAAAACTAAATTTGATAATGTCGTTAGGATGATTTAGATTTTTGTCAAATAGCCTTTCTTCTAGGATGACTACCGCTACAGTTCATCTTTAGTTTTCATACGTTTTCACCAAGTAGATAAAATATTAATTATTTTACTATTATAACACACTGAATTTAATGACATTATTTTACTCTACTTTTAGGTTTAGTTAAGAAACTAAGTAAGCAACCGAGAAATAATGTAAGCTTAGTACTGGTTGACGACTTCTACCATGTTCCATCATTTAATGCTGAGCATCTACTGTTCAAAGAACAACTACGGAAGAACTTGACTTTCAACGTTTTAAAAAAGGTATAATTTAGTTTTTTCAAGAACATAATCTGATGCAAAATGTTTGTATGTTATGAAAATGTTTTAATTTATTTCCAGGGTGTATGGGGCAGCTTCTACTATTTGTCCAATGATTCATACTCGAACTTCCAAAACGTTTACTTAACTAATGCTATTACCGGTGACTTGAACAGCCTGACTTGGATTGAGGCATCATCTACTCCGGCCAATAATAACTTGATTCAGGTAATTTCATACTTAAATGGATAGAGATGTTATTTTATCCTGCTACATTTTACTACATCGAATTGGCCGTAAGGACTTTTAAATTATCCAAAAAAAGTATTATACATTTTTGTATGGGATTTTAATTTAACACTTTGTGGGTAGAAAATATACTAAAATGAGCAAAATGTAATGGTTCTCTTAAATAAAAAATCGTTCCAATCATAAAATAAAAATAATCAAAACCTTTGTCAGGTCTGCTACAGTAGCCCGTCGTACAGAGATGCACAAGATGCCGCTGGAACCACATCTAAGTCCAACAGATCATTTGGAATGGATTACAGTGGTATTAACAGTCTGTAAGTTATCTGGAATTAATAGTTCATGCAATTTCCCAAATTTTAACTAGAATTAAAGACTTTGGATACTATCTCTTGATTATCGATAAGCCAAGGCTGTTAGGAAATAGTGGAGACAAAGATGACAAAAATTATAATTTGTAAATTTTAAGCTTTTTAACTAACATAAAAAGCCTGAATAATCTGGAAGATGGTAAAACTGTTATTATGAGAACATTAAAATTTGTCATATGGCAGTATAGATAGTTACACTTGTATTTCACAAGATCAAGCAAAGTAAATAAAAATGATCTTCTCTCGTGCTTATTTTTGCTGTATTTTTATTATTATTGCTAGTTCATCGTCTTCTATAGCAAGGTTGATACTTCAGTACGCTTTTTTAATTATTTTGAAAACTTTTTATTGCAATCAAAGTCATTTTATTTGATTTCCTGGGTCATTGTTACATTATCAATATGAATTTCTCAGAATAGGTTATTGTCGCCCAAAATTTTAAATAATAATATATTAACTTTCCCATTTATAGGGGTGAAAGGGTAATGGGTGTAGTACAGGGAGGAGCTCTGTCGACTTTGGTGGAAGCTGACCCGGATCTAACGTGGCCGGTACCTGAACACTGGACCCTCGAAGACGCTGCCACTGTGCCTTTACCATATCTACAAGCTTATTATTGTTTAGTAAGTCTGAAATATCACGTTAGCTTTTAATCGGACTTTTTGTCTTTATTTTAAAGTTAGGTAAAATAAATTCTAATTTATAAGATTCTTCATCGTTACCAATTTCCACATTATATAAAAGCATTATATAAAGGAAACGATTGTGAGGTTTAAGTGGTAGTAACCAAGATGACGCACGTAGACATATTTTACGTTGGGAACAATAGTTCACGAGTGACGGCCGCTTACCCCAAGATGTAGTGTCTGTAAACTGACAGCAGCTACAAAATAAATACAATGCCTTATTGAGTAAAGGAATAAGTAACATCAAAAATGTACAAAAAAGATCAGCTGGTTCAGAGTTACGTATCTATGATAGTCTAACTGCAGTCAACGGGACACTGTTGAGATATAAATGACAAAAGAACAGTTTTCATTGTATTTTCTTTGGATTTGTTTACTGGTGGTAGAACCTCTTGTGAGTCCGCGCGGGTCCCTGCCTATTTCTGCCGTGAAGCAGCAATAATGTGTTTCGGTTTGAAGAGTGGGGCAGCCGTTGTAACTATACTTGAGCCCTTAGAACTTATATCTCAAACTGAGTGGCGCATTTACGTTATAGATGTTTATGGGCTTAAGTAACCACTTATAGCACCGGGTGGGCTGTGAGCTCGTCCACCTATTTAAGCCATAAAAAAAACCGCGAGTCGTAGACATAATTAAAAGCACTTTTTACGGTTTAATCTCGCGTTTATTAATTTCATTTTATTATTACCGGACGTTTTGAGTCTTTGACGGTTTTCATTGTCACGGATAACCGTTGTCGACGTCAAGGTAAACGCAATTACAATTTTTTATGTTTGTTAATAGGCAATTAAATCTGAATTATTGAGAAAAAGAAAAGTTTTTATCAATGGAGGAGCCGGAGCATTAGGTCAAGCCGTCATTTCAATCTGTCTCGCTTTGGATTGTGAGGTTTTCACGACAGTCAGCGACACGAAAAAGAAGGAATTCCTAATGAAGTTGTTCCCTAGTTTGCCGGGTACGTAGTTTGAAACATTAATCTTACAGAGACAATGGAGACTCAAGTTATAAAAAAACATAAGTTTATTGATAAAGGAATTTAGAATAATGCTTCAGCAATTGACTCAACGAACCACGTCGACGTGTGAAAGACTATTTAATTTTGGTTTAAGCAACATTTTTGCAACTTTACAGGAGAATCATATAAAATTTTTAAAATTTGTAATTAATACCATAACAAAAAAACTTCTTCGGCTATTTGAGTGGAGTAAATTTAATTGAAATCAATTACAAACATCGAACTGTTTGTGCTAATACTAATTAAAATGGACCTTTAATTACAAAGGCAAATGTCGCGTATCAAGTGAAAATATGTCCCTTTAACCAAAATTAAACCAAATTTTACAGTTATTCTTATGACGTTAAAATAAATAAATAAATTGACTCATTTGCTGTCGCCTATCATGTTTAGGGTAGGGTCAATGGTAAGAGATGTCGTGGACGAATCCCTATGCGCTAGATTGATCAGGTGAAAGACCTTACTGAAACCCCACTTAAAGAGTCTGTGCGCCGGGCCTCAGTTCGCAAACTATGGAAAACATCTGTCAAGGCTTTAATAAGCAGGAATTCCATATGACCACGACTGCTCTGCCAAGAACAACCGATGATGATGATGATGATCATGTACAAAAGATCTAGTAACTCATAAAACAAATATGATACATTTTGTTACAGAATCGAATATTGCAAGCTCCCATAATATTCATTTCAAGGATAGGGTCATGCAGAACACTAAAAATAAAGGATGTGACGTCGTCATCAATTACATGAACGGAAATCTACGTGAGGTAAATATTTTTAAGCTCGCATTTGTCCTGGACATGGTCAAACAATACAATCTTAAATTTAAAAAGTCTATCATACTACAACTAGATAACTTAAATAGCTTAAAGGTTATCGTTATAGTGCCATCAATATACAATTAACCCTTTCCAAGTTCAAACAAACAATCTAATAGGTTATAGTGAACATAATGTTACGCCGGTGGGAGTAACGCCATCTATCGCCGAATAGTCGAACGAATATCGAAGGATCTAGAACGCTCGAGAAGCACAACGCCATCTATTGACAGATAGCGGAAACTACTACTACTAGAAATGTGTAGAATATTCTCGACAATTCTAGGAATGAGGTATCGGCTATAAAAACGTTGTATGGATGGCACGCAGTCAGTCAGTAATCGGTACTACTCGAAGCGAAACAGCGAACGGATCACCTGAAGCGAAGTGGAACAAGCGAATTGAGTGTTTTAAAGTGCTTGTGAAGTGTTTGAGTGCTCTAAGCGTTGAATACAGTTATAAGTTGTACTTTGGTGAAATTTTATTTATCCCGAACCCCAGCGCGTAACAATAATATATGCATGTATGGTGAGCTACTTATGTGAGAATGGCTGATCAAGACCGTAGGAAGTATCGTCCTTATTAATGACATCACCATCCTTAAAAAATAAATAGATTTGTAAATAATACCACCTTAATTTTCAGGCTGTAATAAAGTGTGTTGGGAAGTACAGTTTGTTCCTTGATCTAAGCGAACACGATATGATTCGGAACAATGATTTCCACATGAGCTTTTTGTTTACATCCGGGAGTTATGCATCAACACAATTTTCTTCGATCTTCAAAACTGAAGGACTAAGCGAGAAAAAGGTTAGTTTGCAAAAAGGTTTTTTAGCTCAAACTTTTAATTAAGGTTTTTCGATTTTTAGCAGGAAATGTCACAGTAGGCCTTACTAACTCGGGGTAATCCTTGAGTTCTATCGGTTTCTTTAAATTGTTTATTTGTAACTTATAATAAATAATTTTAAATATTTTAATTCATTACACAAAAAAACCTGTACTTTTTATAATACCTTTAGGTAGAAATAAAAAGCTATTTTATTTAGATAAAGAACTATTTGTAACGTATAATGTCAGACACTTGATACTTTTTTACAGTTAAATTAATTATTTGAAAGCTTATAGTTTTTAGTTCGGTTTCATAGCAAAACTGTATTATAAATAAATAGACGGAGATCATTTTTTCAGGTCGATAAATAAAAATAGCACTTAACCTCGTTCTATGAAGTCTGTGCTTTGCTTCTCTTCTTGTAAAAGTAAAATAGTACTTTTTTTATTTATTCCGCTAATCGTGATTAAGTATTAGGCCAATGTAATCCAAACAATTCATATGTTAATTGCACACGTGTGCAAATTTGAAAGTTAATCAGACGCTTTGAAATTAGTTAAAATTCCGTTGGAATATTCAGTTACGTGTACATGGTTAGGGGAGTATGGGTATGAGTAAAATGCGTGTTATAAAATTAAAAATTAAAAATCATTATAATTTATTAAATTAATTGCTTTTTAATTAATTAGCTATCAAGATCAAATTTATGATGAAATTAATGAAAGTCCATATTCGTAAAATTATTTTCAAAAATTTAATTCTAGTTGCTGCACAAATTTATTAGCGAAGGTATAGCAAGTGGAGTGGTGAGGCCCCTCAGTCGGATGGTGTATTCTCCAGCGAATGTATCCAGAGCGTTCCGTCTCCTGGCCTCCAGTAAGCACCGAGGCAAGGTTTTGATTAAAATGAGGGACTCCAACACGAATCACGATTTGAAGGTTCATCCAAGGTAAAAAGCCCTTTCCAAAGCAAAGGCATTTTTATTTATTGCTTAAATGGGTGAACGAGCTCACAGCCCACCTGGTGTTAAGAGGTCACTGGAGCCCATAGACATCTACAACGTAAATGCGCCACTCATCTTGTGATATTAGTTTTAAAGTCTTAGTATAGTTAGTTACAACGGCTGCCCCACCTTTCAAACCGAAACGTATTACTGCTTCACGGCAGATATAGGCGGAGTGGCGGTAGATATACGTGCGGACTCACAAGAGGTCCTACCACCAGTAATTATGCAAATTATAATTTTGCAAGTTTGATTATTATTACACGATGCTATTCCTTCACCGTGGAAATCAATCGTGAACATTTATTAAGTACGTATTTCATTAGAAAAATTGGTACCCGCCTGCTGGATTCGAACACCGGTGCATCGCTACATACGAATGCACCGGACGTCTTAACCTTTAGGCCACGACGACGATTAAATTGCATATTCAATTGCATATTCTTATATGTATAGTTTTGTGTGCATTTGTAAATGTTTATACAATAATTTATATAATTTTACGTAATGAAATTGACATTTTATAACTCTACTTGATCTGTGTGTTTATAACAGTTATATTTAACGGCCGTCTGGTGTAGTGGTAAGTGACATGGTCACTACACAAGGGGATCGCGAGTTCGAATCCCGCCAAGGGAAGATATTTGAATTATAAATATAAATGTCTTTCCAGGGTTATGGGTGTATAATAAAAATCTTACATTTATTTCCGTTATCTGGTACCTGTAACACAAGTTCTTTACGAACTTATCACGGGGCCAGTTAACGTGGCGTGATTGTTAGTAAATATTTATATTTATTTATATTATTTATATTTATATTATAAATATTCCACAGATTGACCTGTACATCGAGGGGAAGCTATATCGTTGTCTGTGATGAAAGCGCTCTAAGCTTGGAACTGATTGATCGCTTAGTGAAACGTGGTGCCAGAAATCTGTTTATCCACATCAAGCCTAATTCTATCGCCGGATATTGTTTCACTAAAATCTTGTAAGCATATTCAAACTATAACATATTTTAGTGGTAGGCAGCGGCTTGGCTCTGCCCCTGGCATTGCTGAAGTCCATGGGCGACGGTAACCACTCACCATTAGGTGGGCCGTATGCTAGTATGCCTACAAGGGCAATAAAAAAAAACTTTGTTTTATAAAAAAAATAATTTAAAATTAAAACAAATATGAATTTGAAACCGTGGCGCTGACCACATCGTTACATGATGTTTTATCAAAATATATGGTAGATAGCTGATCTATAATAATTGATAATTGATCTTTTCCAAATGTTACTTCCTTAAATATATATTTTATTGTTTTATTAGCAAGTGGAAAAAACTGAACGTGACAATCAAGATCTCATCAGAAAACTTACAAACAGAGAACGGATGCACAAACATGATCAGAGAAGCGACTAAAACTGGACCGGTTTGTGGTATCTTCATAGTACAAAACTACAGTTCTGATGCCCAAGAAGATCAGTTCAGAGCGAATGTTGTCACTGATAAGTTCAAGAACGTTGCCTGCGTCGTGGCTAACTTGGATTTGGTGTCCAGGAACATTTGTAATGAATTAAAGTAAGTTTTTACAATATTTAAAAAAAAAAAAAACCTGATGTGGGTGAACGTGGTCATAGCCCACCTGGTGTTAAATGGTTACTGGAGCCCATCGACATCTACAACGTAAATGCGCCACCCACCTTGAGATATGAATTCTAAGATCTCAGTATTGTGACAACGGCTGCCTCATCCTTCAAACCGAAACGCATTACTGCTTCACGACAGAAATAGGCAGGGTGGTGATACCTACCCGTACGAACTCACAAAAGGTCCATCACCAGTATATTATTTAGACTGGATGTACTTCAAATTCAAACGTATTGTGAGGCATAGTTATAAGTTCTCACGGATGTAATATAAAATATTTATTTTTAATAATAATACTCTATTTTCAATACCCATTTTTATCATCTTTCAGCCATTTTGTGATAATAAATTATGGGCCAAAATCTTACGCTGATGAGTACGTGGGGAGTGTAATTGACAAGATCTGCCAGTCGCGTAACGAAATTACTTTGCCTGCTTTGGTCTTCCGCATTGGAACAATAGCTGAGGTGAGACATTCGGTTTTTTTTTTTATAGCTTACTTATATAAGGTACAATTCGATTTCATTAATAGAGAAGCCCTACGATCAATCGCTTAGCTTTCAATTCGAATTTGAATGATGGAGAAGATATACTATCATCCCTCCATCCGCAACACAGCGCACAGTCAGGCGGGAACACCGTCCTCTCCTATACTACCTACAGGGTCTTGTTTTTGTCGTAAAATAACCATGTCCGACGGAACAAGTGATCATTACTTAGCTCCTATGAGACCCTGAGGATCTCCAACTGATCGAAGTGACCGAAGGATATTATGGATTCTCGCACGGACGTTGGTGATTTCTAGAGGGATTGCAGATTTTTCATTGAAACGTACCAACGTGCTTTAGAATCAATTCCCCCTACGGTACATTCAAAGTGCTATAATATGTCCTTCTTCAGATTAGATTCAATAAAAGTCCTCACTCAACAGAAGTTTATGAATGACGGCGATAACTCACTTTCACGGCGGTACTATGTTCGTTGGCACATAATGGAAAAAAAACCGTGACGCAACAAAAGCTAGACCTAATTACATTAATTATTTTTATATAATGAGAAATCAATTGTCTATGTTTTCTCAGCTCGATCGGAATCTAGATAATCTTCAAACGAAAATTAAAGCACAAACATTATCGACCGCTTTGAACGGTCTCGAAAGTAGCTTGAAGATGAAGAATAGCAATACCGTTGCCTACAATTTGAAAAAGAGGTCTGATTTGTCATTCATTGAGAGAATCTCAAGAATTATTGGTGAGTTTTTCTATTCATTTTCGGAGCACCAGATGTAAATATAGATTTAATTAATATTCTAAGTTCATATAATCGTTCGTAAGCAAAATTGGTTCGTTCGTTTTATTACCTTGACCCACCTGGTAATTAGTCGTCACTGTTGCACATGTACTTTTTTTTTTATTGCTCTTGTATGCAGACGAGCATACGGCCCACCTGATGGTGAGTGGTTACCGTCGCCCATGGACTTCAGCAATGCCAGGGGCAGAGCCAAGCCGCTGCCTACCGCTTAAATAAGGCCAGATGTACAGGCAAGAAGGTGTCCATACCGACAGCATGGGCGTAAATCTTAACTATAGCCAATTGAACAGCTACCATTCCCACGTCCTTACGAATCCATCAGATCCAATAACCCTTGCATTAGACGCCTTCCGCTCGAACACTAGGAGTAGGGACCCCTGTAACCGTACTCGTCGAACTTGGCAAAGAGTTCGACGTGCAACGTAACCTAAACATCAGCCTGTTGAGTTTCTCGCTGGATCTTCTCAGCGTTCACGGCTCCGATCCGGTAGTAGATTAATTCGCGAAGCAGCGACTCTTGAGTTGTTAGGTCTCCCTTGGACGCGCTTGGATAGCTGTAAGCAAATCCCGCCCCTTCTGGCTGAACCCTTACTCACCTACCTGTCCTTGTGAAACCGGAAAGGCTTCCGGGCCACCAGTAAACCCTCAATTATAAAAAAGCTAGCATTCCAATGTTTTTAAAATATTTCAATGATTATTATTATTCGCAGAGATGCAATTAGAAACTTTCTTAATTAATTCGGATCTTTTTTGTTCTTTATGGTGTAGGTGTGGAAAACATAAATGAAATTAAAGGGACACACACGCTTCAGGATATTACGAATGATGTAGCTATACAACAAATAATTACAGCTATCAGAGAAGAATACAATATATTGTACCCCGATGAACAAGTTAAAAAAATGACTATAGCGAGGTAAGATATGAAAATTAAACGTAACGAATTAGCCATTTTAAAAAGATACGTCATGACCAATGTAAATTGCTGCTGGCAGGATCCGGAAGCACTTATGAACAACACATGATTTGTCCTTCAAAACGACGGAATATCTCGTGCCACATAATACTGGCCATATACAGTGCGATTTCAGAGATCATTGTACACACTGTCCATCTCTGAATGTTAGTGTTCTTCCTAGGGCTAGGCCATTTCCTAGCACTGTTGCGGCCAACCGTTATGGCTACGACGCTTGGGGGCAACGTGCCTTGAATGGCCTTAATGGCAATGCTCAATTTCTGCGAATCCACTACCTCTAATACAGCCGGGCCGGAGGGACTCTTCCTTTTTCGTACCAATCCATCGCCGTCGAGTTGGGGGCCAGAAGACTGCACGAGCGTGGGTGGTCATTGGGGGGTGGTGCATTGTCTTTGGATTAAATAAGGCACATGAACCAACAGACAATGGAGGTTAAAGCTACGAGGTTAAAATTACTATTAAATTACAATAATGGGCAACACTTTGAACCAAATGGTAACATTATTTTACACTATGTAAAATGGTGGTACAGGGACAAAAAAGTTTCTATTTATAAGTTTGCGTTTGTATAAAGATTGTTGAGTATTCAGTCAGAAATCATAGATTTGGTAGTCGAAAAGAGAATGCGAAGTAAATGAGTTTTTATTACAGCATCAAAGACTTTGAGAGCCGCATGGTGAAAGCTAACAACAATTTCAACGGTGGTCTAGGAGCTTTTTACACTTTCATTGATGAGGACGAATGCTACGCTACGGAACCGGTTATTCCTATGCGTACTAAGTTCAGTATTGTTAAGGTATGTAAATTAAGAAAAGTAAATAGTAAACTAACTAGCTGAGAGATTTTAACATTAAGCATATATTATATCATTATAGATCCGATGTAAATTGTAATGGCGTAATTTACTTTTTGTATTATGTTTTGATTGTCAAACTATTGATTCGAATTCAATACCCAATTAACAATATACACTTTTAAATGAAATAGGAGGAAGAAGAATTAGATCCTAAAGCCACGTACCTCTTCCTTGTACCTGGATTCGAAGGGCACAACAGAATATTTACTTCCATCTGTGAGAGGCTGAAGGTTCAGGCAATGACCTTGCAACTTGGGCCTGATGTCATGGATGATACCATTCCGCAAATGGCCTACAATATTAGGAAGGTAATCATATTGTTTATAACTTACTTATTCTGGCATAGTAAACGACGTTATCTGGTAACAAGCTGTTATAAAAGCCCATTGGCACCAAGTCAAGCACACTTTCCACCTTAAGGCTTTTTAACTCTATTTCATTGCTATAACAGATATTCTAGTCAGAATAACAGATACTCTACACTCCAAATCTAGTCGTAACGTTTTTTGACTCTGTGATATGGATCTAGAATAGCACCACCCAATTTTTCCCGTGGGTGTCGTCCCAAAGATTTATTTACAAATGAATAAGGTTTGAATCTAATCTATTGATTTAATCTAAAGTCCTAAAGCATGTGTTTCATAAATTAATGGGAGGAAAACCACATAAATCCATATTAAGATAACAAAGGGTAATTTTCTATTATCTTAAACATGTCAAATGGAACGAAGGTACTTAAATTTATATGTAATATTAGAATAAATTGTAGGCAGCCATTGGGACTACTAGACATCACAAAGTGTCCAGTAACAATTCGTAAATAAACAAATATAGATTTGAAACGGTGGCTCTGGCCATATCGTTTCCAATCTCAATAAGGTTTTATTTAAATATGTGGTAGGCAGTTTATTTGATCGTTTCCAAATTTTACTTCCTTAAATATAATTGTTTCGTTAGGAAGTGGAATGACTAAGAGCTAGGATTTCAACTTTATAATTATAGGATCTTATATTTGTTGACTAAAAACCCAGAATTAAAGTACAATTTACCAACACAAAGATAAAACGATAAGTATAGGAACCAGCATCTATAGCGACAAGATTACGAGGCGAATTTTAGTATTCAGAAACCAATATACAATCATACGATGACCACTAAATTTAATTTCTTCAGAATCACATAAAATATGACTGCCAATTGGCTGTGTTGTGAAAGGTTAAAACCGGCTTTGTACATTTCCCCTGGAGCGAATTCTCATTCAGGAAGACTTGGCTTTTTTGTTTTCTCCGCTGCACGTTAATTGTATCTAACGGCTACTGCTACGAAAGAAATGCAAAGTTATGATTTTAATTTTCTCTGCGATTCAAGATTATGCATGTAAAATAATTTTAAATTATTAAAAAAATAAACTGCGGGAAGAATTCTAATTAAATTGTATTATGAATAACACATTGCAATGCTTTTAACATGCTTTTTTTTTTAACAGAGGTGTCTCACACCCCTCTCATATTCAGCAACTACCCTCTATGTAGGTGTGGGTGGTTTTTACGTTGTGATGTCTATAGGCTTTGGCAACTAGAGTATTACAAATAAAATATTGTCTCTTATTTAACGCGTAGAGAAAGCTTTAAGCACTCCCTGGTACCAATCAGCTAAAGTGCCACAACAATTATTTTTTTAATTTCAGTTCATGAAGAAACGATTTGAGTTGAAATCAAAGTTCTACCTTTTGGGCTACTCATTTGGTGTTAACGTCGCTCTGGAATTAGCTGCGTTGTTGGAAAAGGAAGGTAAATATTGAGATGTAAAACAGATAAAATAAAATTAAAACAAGCAAACACTTTTAAAGCAGAAAATTATATAATTTTATGTTATTCTATCATTACTCTAATGGCGTGTACAACATAACCGTTCATCTGGTATGAAATACAAATTGCAAAATGCGCACCTGGTGGTGTTAAATTGTGAATATCGCGACCCACCTTCAGACATGCGATCGATGTTTCAATCATATAGCATTACAACAAATCCATTCAGTCTAAGGATCAATTCTTACAAAACACGTTTATTGCTTGCTCGCGTAGAATTAAACACAAAAGGTACCAATTAAGCGTAAACTCAAATCCTTTTAACAAAAGAAAAGCAATTTCAACTTCCTTTAATTTTGTATCTTTTGACTTGCAGGCCATGTTGGTGTCGTCTACTGTCTCGACAGTAGTCCAGACGCGATGAGGGCGCAATTAGATGCTTATATCGGCAACTTAAAGGACTCCGAACTGCAGGACAGAATAGTCGAACATATGTACAAGCTGATGGCGGGTACTGATAGCGAAGAACTTAAAGAAGAACTGCGCAAAACCGAAGACTGGCCCGACAAAGTTGAAGCGTGTATAAATAGACTTAAAGGTGTGGTCCATTACTCACACCAGTACAAGAGATCGATCCTCCAAGGGGCTTACCGAAGAATTCTTCTTGCTAGAGAATATGAGCCGAACTTCCAGCTGGAATCCGAGTTGGTTTTGATGAAAGGAATCCCGCATCCTTCTATGGGCTATTTGACGAATGATTACAATCTGTTTAAGTACAGCAAGAGACCTGTTCAGGTGTTCAAGTTGGAGTCAGATCATGCACTCGCACCTCAAGACTGTAGAGCCTCTAATATCATAAATAAATTACTAGATCCGGCAGTTCTGGAGGAGTTCAACAAGTCAAATCTATGTGAGAGCTATCTTGCAGACCCTACAAACATCCTCTAAAATCTTACTTTAAGATGCGGCCATTATTTATATTATAGAATAAATGTGTGTTTTTAATAAAGTGTTCTTATTTTTTAAATGTCCTAGTCCAGTAAAAAATTACTTTGTTAAATCAAAACAGAGTCTAAGCACACCCTAATACTGTTACAAGTCGATGGCACAGTTCAATAATGACGCCATCATTCTTCACACACCCTATATAAATTAAAGTTTGTCTATTTTTTAAAGAACGCTTTTTTTAAGCTAAAAAAACTGATATTTACACTTTACTGAAACCTTTTTTTTTCCGGGTTAGATTGTGACAATCCATGATTTGAGGCTATTTTTGTTTTAACAATATTTAGGGTGTGTTTAAAAAGAATATGTGTCAAAAAGGAGTTTCATTTGGAAATAAAGTAGATCCAATATCATTGATATTTAGCTATTATATGGTATTAGGTATACTCGTTAAATCGTCTTGGTCAAATTGCAAAATCGCGCCCATGATCTCGATCAAGGGGTTACGAAACTCAGACAAAACAATGAGGCTGTGGCCTCATTTACCGTAACACATTTATATAAATTAAATCAATGTTCGCCTGTATGTTGGTTTATTTGTTTGTTATTCGTCCTTAAGTCATAAATTTATTGCTGTACACTAGCTGATTTAGGTTTTTTCATAGGTTTTGCTAGTTAGTGTTAGGTAGTCCCAAAAAAAACGCTAAATTTTCATACATTTAGTTCAATAAATAGTCATAGCAAAACAAGACCTGGTTTCGCTGTTAATTCGTAAAATATGCAGTATAGTGGTGCCCATCCGTGCGTTCTTAGAATTCTAATCTACCCTAGGAACTTAATTCCAACAAATCTGTTGATATCAAAATACCCGTTCCTAATAAATAGTATCATAGTCTTGAGAATATTTTACTTTTCACTGTTCTTTATTTTTAAGCATACGGTTTCTTTCTTATCAAAGATTTCAGTATGAAGAGTGACATTCGGGCTTTGACTCGATTCTATAATTGTTGATCCATCACCAAGTCACATTATTAAAGCTAAAATGCAAATGAGATGATTATGGTTCCGATTCGCTAAATACTTATTTTTTCAGTTCAGGAATGAACCGTTAAGCGGTAACTTGTTACCTCGATTCCCGCTGCGATAACATCATAAAACAGTGCGACTCCACTGGAAGTTGCCGACTTATCTCGACAATTTAAGGGCCCCGTTGGATACGCAGAGGGAATCTCGGCTTGCGGAAACTTTAATCGTATTTCTCCTTGTTTAGTTATTTTTATTGCAAGATCTTATTATTTCTTAATAGCCTATGCTTTTGGGCGAGTGTTTTGGTTACGGATTTCTCTCTGGGAGAAATTCTCTTTTATTGCGAGTTTCTGTACAGATTATACACAGAGATGTTTTTGTTTTTTTGAAATGTATTTTAAGATGAAAATTGAAATGAGCTTCCCGATTGGGAAACATGTGAAACAACAGTTATAACATATGTTATAGGACCGTGGATTGTAGATTTGGAACGCCTTGTGGTGAACGGTAAAATCAAGGGGCAAAAATCCTAGGGGTAGAGGTCCCAAACGATGGTCGGACCAAATAGCGGAGGAGAACGTGATCGATGAAGACAGCTGGTTGACGGAATCGGACGGAGTCACGATCCTCAGCAATGAGGGACCGATTGAAGAGAGAGAGAGAGACAGAGAGAGAGATAGGACCGTAGATATAAGTTTGTGTTAAGTGATATAATCTGGGTCTCAAAATACATGATTCATTTTTACATTTTCTTAAGTCACCTTAGCATATTCGAATATGGGACAGCAAAGAAACTGAATATTATCAACGGTGCCAATGCAAGACTAAACTTTACGAGTGGGATTAAAATACAAAAAAAATATTACTGCGGTAGTAAGCGCAGAATTGTAAATTAGCATGACTGAAACATTTATCAGGCAATAATTGCTTTACGAGAACATTCAAAGGATTTATGGGAGAAACGCTGGATGTGTATTGCTAAAGATACTTTTGTAGGTTTAATGAAGATTCAGTGTTTAATTAGGTATTATTGCGTGTTGAGTTGTAACGATTACGCCGATAGATTAGGACATGTCTTAGGCGTAGCATTTGTTAACGCCATAAAGTGAAAACACTAGAGCATATTAATGTGTACAAAGTATCTCTCTTAAAGTATCTCTAAGTGTCTTAAAGCGGTAGGCAGCGGCTTGGCTCTGCCCCTGGCGTTGCTGAAGTCCATGGGCGACCGTAACCACTCACCATCAGGTGGGCCGTATGCTCGTCTGCCTACAAGGGTAATAAAAAAAAAAAAAAGTGTCTCTCCTAAAGTATCTCTCTTAAGGCGAGAAAGGGACAAATGGTACAGTTAAAGTTATATAGTTAAAATCTCAATTAATTTCCAATATTATAATTCTATCTGGCAAACAGCCAAGCATGTATCTTTGACAGAGTTAGATAAGATATTGATATGCTGTGAAGGTTCACAATACATTAACGATTATATTTCTGTTATGTTATATACTATTTTATTTATTTATTAAATTTAATAAAATAAAAAACATATAATCTTTAAATGCTCAAAATGAAATCATCTATATTTAAATAGACAAAGACAAAACCGGATGTTACCTTATTTATGAACTGTTTTTGTTTTATTTAGTAATATTGATGAGATTTAGTGTTACAAAAATATTTTGTTTTTGTTTTTATTAGTTGTTTTCTTACCTTGACAAGAAAAATGTCACAATATACCAGATGGAAAATATAATATAAATTTTGATGAACTTATGGCTATAAGAAGTGATAGTCTAATTTCAGGTTAGTAAATGATAATAACAATAATAATAATAAATACTCATATTACTTACCTTACTATGACTAGATGATGACTGAGCTTTGCTCGTTTTTTTTTTTTTTTTTTGATAACGCCATCTTGTTTTGTCTTTAAAGTGGTTAGTTGCCCTCAATTAAGAAAAATAGTATTATTATTCGCCAATAGATGTCGGGAAGAGTCATAAAGTTGATTATCGATAAAGTTGAGTATTGAAAACACGAATAAAACAACATTTTCTGAAAATAAATCGTAGCTAGATCGATTTATAGCCCTCGAAATCCCCTGTATACTAAATTTTATGAAAATCGTTGGAGCCGTTTCCGAGATTCATATAATATATATTAATATACAAGAATTGCTCGTTTAAAGGTATAAGATTCATTTAAATGTCATAAAATGGGATTGTAGTTTTCACAAACGAGAATAGCCTAAAGCGTTTGTACACAAAAAAAGTATTTTCGATACACGGGTCGTGTTGAACACCGTAAGTCAGTAAATCACGGCTTTGCCACAAGTTAATCCGGCGAACCTTTGGAGCGTGGGCACAACAGGACACTTCCACGATTTAGTGTGTACATAACTTTGTATCGGCTTAGAGAGAAAATTTGCCTTTCTATAGACGCTTTGTAAAGGTTAGCGTTTTTATAATGGAATTCCGTTTAACTAATCCAAGAACATCGCATGTTCATTTTACGGTAGGCAGCGGCTTGGCTCTGCCCCTGGCATTGCTGAAGTCCACGGGCGACGGTACCACTCACCATCAGGTGGGCCGTATGCTCGTCTGCCTACAAGGGCAATAAACAAAAAAAAATAAACAAAAACGTATCCGTCGTGGAATCCATTCATTTTCATGTTAGAAAAATCAGTTCATGCCTACCCGATTTTAATAGCGGTAGAATCTCGTCGCTTTTTACATGTGTATTTTTATATTTATACATTATATATATATATATATATATATATTATATTATACATTATACATGTATGTATCATTTAACATATTTTGTTTCAAACATTTGTGGTCAAGCTGTCCAATATTCATTGGAAAACAAATTGTAAAGCTTCCTAACGCTAAATTAGCGTTGCTCTGAAGCGAATTCTGAGAAATAGTTCTGGCAGACTAGATATTTGAGGTAAATAATGGATTACAACGGAAACTTCCAATATAGGTATCTGTTACACTTCGAAACTTAATATTTCGCTTTATTGATGATTCAGTCGTAATGTTACGAATTTCGGTGAATCCCGCTAAGCCGTGGAGACTAGGCGAATTGTTATTGATAGGATGGCATAATGTGAGACGTCTTGAACGGGTTAGATACACCAACTTCTGTGTGTTTAGTATTTCAAAAGCGGAGCGATCATGCAGTTTTAAAGATTGTGTAGCACTTATTCCAAAGCCCTGAGAGATTTTCAGCATTTGTGATAGCTATAGTCAAATGCCAAATTCAACTTTACTTTGTCTATGGGCAATGACTCCAGTCACTTAAAATCTGGTCAACCGTCCATTCTACGAAAGTAATAAAAAAAAATTGACGATCCTGGAGGATCGGAAGAAGTAAAACTTGATGTGTTTTGAAGGTAATTGAAGTTAATGTCTTATTAAAAACTTGATCTAGAGGGCCGGCCAAATGGTATTATCAGAAAATCAAATATTTGGTCGTCCATGCCCAAGTGTTTTTCTTTTCCGATGGGAGTATCCACTCTCGATGCTTTTGGGCGCTCCAAGCAAGTCACCGTTTTCGCTCGACGTGCAACTTAATACACCAGAAAAAACTCACCGAGTTTCTCGTCGAATCTTCGTAGTCGCGATTCAGATTCGGTGGTAGATTCATCAACCAACCACTGCTCTTGCTAGGGCAGATGTTAGCAAAACCATCTCATGCTCAGCTACGTCAGCTGCCTCATCTCGCAAAACAAATCCAGAATAGCCTTTCGAGGCTATTAGCAGTTAGTAACGCAAATAAAAAAAAGATGTGTGGTGTCGTGGGACAACGGATAGGAACGAAATTCCTTATTATAAAAATATTAATTTTAGGTTCTATTCGCAGTATAAAGAAAATAACTTAAATAACTATTAATATACATTTTTTATTATGATTTTTATATTGATATAAATAATCGCAAGGGTCAACCACTCCGCAGTGCAATGGAGCAGCCTCATCCTGGGGGCACCGCCTGCATGATCACGGTATCGCCTACGCCAGGTAAGCATGGTTAAGCAAGAGAAATACGAGAACATCTATCAACTGTGTAACATCTCATAACAGCGATTCAGGAATTGTTGAATTTACGTGCAGCGACATCTGTTGATAACAAATCTTACGTTACGGACGTTTTTTCCCGGTTAGGGTACCCCTCCGCATCGTCCCGTATGGAACTTCGTTCCAAAAAATACGAGATACTTTTCCCTTGCACAATAAAATTATCTGTACGCTATACAAAGTAGTTTAAGCTACAATATATTTATATATTTCTTTGATAAAAACATTGATAGTACCGATGAGTGCTAATCAACCACCCGGTCACCGTCCTCGTCGAACCCGTCGCTTGCAACGAAGGGCTCGACAAGCGAACTAACCCATAGACACAGTCCACTGAGTTTCTCGCCGGATCTTCTCAGTGGGTCGCGTTTCCGATCCGGTGGTAGATTCTGCGAAGCACTGCTCTTGCTAGGGTCAGTGTTAGTAACTCTCGGGTTTGAGCCCCGTGAGCTTACCTACAAACGTTAGGGTGAAGCTGAAATAGCCTCTCAAGGCTATCAGCATAGGTAGAAAAAAGAAAAAAAAATCAATCACTACAGCCATTCCCAATGGATAGCATACAAAAAGTATTAAGAGATTATTGACTTACTAAGCTAAGAATTATGGCAAACGCATATCTAAGCTATAAACCGTACCGTATTATTATTATTACCGCCATCGACAAAATCAGCAACCGCTTCAAAATACGACGAAAAATACATAAAGTGACAACGTAAAAAGCATTGTCAGGCCATTACATGATGGGTCGTTTCCGATGCGACTCCATGTTGACCGGTAGAGGACTTAGCATACAACTCCTGCTCATACAACTGTATACAACGAACTAAAATTTGACAAGATAAGGCAAGGAATAATTGAAAAAAAAAAGAAACTGCTGCAAACATTCATTAAATAATGAAGCTGATTATGGCATATTTAGTACCTAAATTAAAAACGATGAATTATTTGATATATAATTTAAATTTATAATCCAACTCAATCAGAATGTTTTTTTTTTATTGCTTAGATGGGTGGACGAGCTCACAGCCCACCTGGTGTTAAGTGGTTACTGGAGCCCATAGACATCTACAACGTAAATGCGCCACCCACCTTGAGATATAAGTTGTAAGGTCTCAGTATAGTTACAATGTCAATGGACTAAAAAAATTAAAGGGAAATAAATCTCTAAAACTCTAAGCCTTGCTGATAGCAGATTGTGAGTAGGATTCCTTGTTACATATTTATCTAAATAGCTTAAAGACAATTAGTTGGCATCCGATAATTAAAAATCACCACATCCACAAATCTTTTGATGTTCATATTGCTTGGAGCAGAAAGCAGTGTGAGCTTTTACAAGCCCTATATCGCGTATCGATCTGAGCTCCGGAATACAACGACCTACTTAAAGCTCTTCTCATGCACGAGCTTATGAATGCACTTAAAGGGATCTTTAGGTCTTTGTGGAGCATGTTGTCCATATTGAATATCGGAAATAGAAGTTGTACATTTTTCGATCAAACTTTTCTCTATGCTTTAAAGTTTTATTCAGAGAGGTTTCATAAATACGTCTAGGTGCAAGCGGAACAGAAAATATTTAAATATGCACAGGATATGGTCGTTTTCTAGTTACTTTTTTGTACTAGGTGGGGGAACAATCCACGATAAATCATGAGGTTCACGGCATTGTACACCAGTAAATCACACCCAGTGCTGGTCAAACTTCAACCATAATCACAGACACTTCAAGACTTAAATTCATTTTTAATACGCTTTTATTACCTTCAAACGTATGTATGTTTGTAACGGAATCTTTGAACATGATTTTGACTCCCTTCAAAACGTGGGATTAACTCGAAATTTGGTTTACTTATTAAGGACCGAAGACAATTCAATGTTTAAAAAAAAATTAAAAAATTTAACTTCAACTAAAAAATGACATATAAATAATATTTAAAAAAATTCACAAAATACGCTTTTATAGAAAATCCAACTAAAAAATAGAAAGTAAATTTTAATAAATTTGAATTAAAAATATTTTAAGAAAAACTATGCTTTTCAGGTTATTATCAAAATAACCCTACTACTCAAATCTGTTCATAAAATATTTATAACTACTTATTTATTTACCGTGTACCCCACGCTTTTTTTACAATAAAATCATTTTTTCTTACACTATTTTTAATTCAAATTTATTAAAATTTATTTTCTATTTTTTAGTTGAATTTTCTAGAAAAGCGTATTTTGTTAGTTTTTATAAAGTATTATTTATTTATTTTTCATTTTTACTTTTGTTATCCAATTGACATTTGTATTCTAAAGGTGAAAGAAAAAAACTGTTTTATGTATGTGAATGTATGAAACTACATAAATATATGTAACTGAAGATATAACTAACACTCAGCGAAACGATTATCAGCATTAAGCCCATTTAAATTACTCCCTCTTGAACTACGAAACCCCATATTTGAAAAAATTAAAGATGTGGTGGTGGGACACCAGGTAGGAACGAAGTTCCTTCGGCTAATGTAGAATAGACACAATTTGCAAAAAAATAAATGGTGCTCAATTTTATGTAGGTTTTCTTGGTTTTTCTCTTAAATTTTGCTGATTAGTTTTTATTTAAGTACGGGAAAGTATTTAGGAAATTCAGTATTTTAGGAAATAATAAATTACGTAAAATAAAAACTACACTACTCGCTTGTGTATGCGACTGTCGCGCCTGCGCACGTCTCATTTAACGGTTTTATTCCACGCACTTTTTTCCACGGATTTATTCCACGCACTTTTTTCCACGGATTTTTTCTTACGGTTTTACTATCACATTTTTTTCAGTTCGGTTGCGCAGCAAAATCCCTTTCCCCTTCAAGCCTGTCGTAAGGAACTTCGTTCCAAAAATAAATAATAAAGTCTATTTATAGTTTTTTTGATTTCATTTTTATTGTCACTGTAACAGATAAGCATATGCTCTTAAAGTGAGTAGCTGTAGTGGACTGTGTGATTAGGATGGGCAAGGAACTTGATAAATAAACTCGCGAGGATTGCACGTATAAAATTTGTATATTTTTAAAATTTTATAAATCGCGTACAATAGCCCGGAAAAAAGAGAATGACAAAACAAACATTCCAAAATTCAAAATTCAAATGTAATGTCAAAAACCACAACGACAACAATAAAAAAGGTTTTATACCAATTTGTTGGGTTTCCAAGAGTAGTCACCATGGCTGATGGATGTCAGGGTCATAACCAAGTCGCTATGTTGTTGGGAAGGACCCCGGTAATCGCCCGACACGAGAACCCTCTCATCGTGGCCGCCGGTAACTGCATTCTCGTTCCTGCGGAAAGAATGGAAAGCAGTCGACGTCGCCCAAAACACGTCATCTCGGATCCTCCCGATCCACTAACGGTGCTTCTAGGTACTTCAAGCAACGGTCACCGTTCTCGTCGAACCCGTCGCTTGCGACGAAGGGCTCGACGAGTAAATTAACTCTCAGACACAGCCCACTGAGTTTCTCGCCGGATCTTCTCCGTAGGTCGCGTTTCCGATCCGGTGGTAGATTCTGCGAAGCACGGCTCTTGCTAGGGTTCGTGTTAGCATCGTCGTCAGGTTTGAGCCCCGTGAGCTCACCTACTAGTTACGGTTACGCTGGAATAGCCTCTCTAGGCTACCAGTTTAGGTAGGAAAAAAAAAAAGGTAATCGCCTAATACCATGCGAACCATCCTCTATCAATCTAATGCAATAAATAAGCCCGTAACTGCATAACTAAGTTTGATAAACTGAATGGTGAAGTTATAAAACGCTAGGCGGTTCCTGTCGTTTATTATGTAACTTGCTCAATTAGTACCGGCACGGTGTATAGCTGCAGTTAACGGGCGAAATTGGAACTTATTGTGTTGCCCATGCAGCGAGATACAGTTGAGATGGACTCAGTAATGACACCATTAGGAACACTATGAAGCTTCTAGATTAAATTTAAAAAAAATATGATTACTAGTATTACAAGTCACGAATTTTATTTACTGTTTACCTTAGAGACGCCATGAATTACCTATATAAATATTTTTTGTTATATTCATTTACTTTTTATGTTAATACTCACTAACTGGTACATACGTATGTATGTAAAAACAAATAAAATACAATACCTTTTTGTTTAGTTACATTGAAATAAAAAAGTTATTTAACTACATATTTTTTTCCAAGTACCTCTTCTCGAACGAAGTCCTTTTCCAACGATTAAATAAATATACGGATATAAACTGATTATTTTTAGTTTTTGTTTCTTTTCATAAAATCATAAATATTCGTTTTGAGTGCCATCGTGTAAATTCACTACTGCACAGAGTAATTACATTACAACACTGCATCTATCTCTATTTGCATCTCATTCTCTCATATGAAGCACTAAACCCCCTATGGTAATAAGATAAGATACTAGAGTGTACTATGAGACAAAAATACTAAATTGTTTAATTATGAAACTGCAATTTGATTCTGGACACACGATTTGAGATCATCCTCTTAAAATCATTTCGGTTTATTTCATAAATACTCGCAGCAACTTTATAGGAGCTTTTACCCATACAAACGGGACCCTGCTATATACCTTTTTTTTTTTTTTTTTTCGGGTAGAGGGCCGAACCTCCTACGAGGTCCCCGCGCAAAAGGGGCGCGCGGGGTATGTGAGACTCAACGATCTGCATGGTGTTGTGAGCAGACCGCGGGCCCAAGGATTTTAGGACCCACCCACTAAACGACTCCCCTGCACTCTTACACCCGACGTCCGATCCCCTCCGAGGTCAGAACCCGGATGAGGTAGGGGGGCTACCGCGGTCAACACTACAACCAGACGGCGCGGCTCACCCCAAGGACGCCCAGCCGACGGAGCCTTCGAGGCGAATCGAAGGCTCTGAAACGTCGGCCGTCTCGGTACGGCAGCCCGTCGGGCCGCCCAGACGGTGCCGCTGGTGT